AATTCTAGGTTATACTGTAGTGAATAAGAACACAAGTGAGAACTAACGAATTACAGAATATCTTAGTAAAATCTGAGAACCATACAGTATTTATTTCATTTGCAAATTGTCAATCAATTGTCTCAGACTTAATTGTTCTTTTGTTTTCACACGAATCATTCTCTGTTCTCGTTCTCTTTTCTTTGATCTTCTTAAAATTCTGCCGCCAGAAATTTCACTTTCGATTGATGATGCATTCTACTTATATCTGTCGACATCAGTACCACACACCACAATAGTGTTAAAATAATAAGGAACATTTAATCTAAGAGATGATAATCACAGTAAACTCAAAGAAGAGGATACTTTTGAGTTTATTGAATTGAATAAAGTCAAGATATCATAAATGTTATAGTTAAATAAATTGATTAACAAAACAAGATACATTTGGGAATTGGAAGAGATTCAAAACACTTAGTTCAATCTCACGTTTGTATCAAGTCATAACAGGTGAAAACATACCGTTTTTTTTCTGAAGTTGATAGTACTCCCATTCTGTATTATTGAAAGCTTTCAAGAATTGTTTGAATGCGAGTTTATCAATCATGTATTCAACCTTAGTTATTGCTTGTTGTTAAGCCATTGTGATTCAGAAAATTCAGTGAGACTATAATTTATGAACGAACCAATCACATATAAGATAACAGATCTCGGATTTTGGCACGAAATTCACTCATTCATTCAGATAAATAGAGTTTTGATATTATAGCTGATGTCAGTTCGTGATGAAAACCCTAAATCTCATTTCTAACCTCAATGATCACCTGTAAATCATAATTCCAATTCCTCACACGGGTTTATAACCCTCATTTGGTCCTGGTTATTAGGTGAGCACTCTCAAGGTCAGCCTGGCATCGCTCAAGGGTCGTCCATAAATTATAGTTTCACCGAAAATTCACCTGGTTTATAAATAACCTAGAGCCAGGCACATATGTGCGTTAACTCAAGTGACCATGTCACATTAGTAAAACGAAATTAAATTAACGAGATGACTAGTCAAGGTGTCAAAATAATTACAAATCAGAAAGATTAAACATAGAGAACCTGGTTCAAAAAGACGGAATACAAGGTGATGATAATTTGGATGATATGGTGTGAAATATAATGTATATTTCTGGCAGATCTAACACATAACAGCAACCATATCAGTTGTTGATAATGGTTAGTCAAATTCAAATCGATAACCTTTATTTCCCTCACAATTAATACATAAACCAATCTATCAACAATTTCACTGATAACAACTATGTCATTATCCTCTCTTATTGTTTTAAATTAATTCATATATTTGTAATATCCCAATAAGTAGAAAAATTAGATTTTCTGACGTTTCGTAACTCAGTGTAAGCCACTTCTTCGGGACATCAATAATCAAATCAAAATTAATCCAAGTTTAAATAGTACAAAGGAATCACACAAGAGTATTAGGTGTGATCAATCAAAAAACGGGTTCGAACACGTTAATGTTATGTCATTTCGGTCAAAGTGATTTATAATAGACATGTATGTTTAGTTGTCTGTATGTATGTGCATGTGTGCACTGTTCCGTTGGACTATTTAAACTTGGATTAATTTTGATTTGATTTCGATATTGTAATAAGAAAACGAAGATTATCAGAACTATGTGATGATATATTAGTACAATACATTTCGAACAGTCCGATCACACATATATTCGTTAAGAACATGCTAAGGTCAACTTAACTGGAAATAGGGTAATAGGAGACATGGATAATAATAATAATAATAATAATAATAATAATAATAATAATAATAATGTGAACACAACTCGAAACGTAATCACTCTGAATAATAAGTCAATATTACCAGGGTAGGTTTAAGGTGAGAACAAACTGTTTTTGAATACACAAAGGAGTTTTGAATTTTCGTATGGCTAAGGCTTCAATAAACCTTAGCATACACCCTTTTACACACCACAAAAGCCGAGTTAAAATCAATCTTATAACCTCTTTCGGTTATATGTTTAGTAGTAGAGGATGATAGATTATTAATTCACTCTCAAGAAGTGGCTTACACTGAGTTACGAAACATCAGAAAAACGAATTCCTCTACTCATTAGAATGTCTACGTCCATATATACTACACAATGCTCAATTTATTTAAAATGATCAAATCAAACCTTGGTAACGATGCCTCTCTTATTGTTTGTTTGTTTTTTTAATTTTCAGCACAAAGACAAAATGACAATTCTACAAGTATTAGTAATACTATTAACCATCCAATATTGAAATCATTCAATAAAAGTTTTTATATATCATCTAATCAATTCACACGACCAATTCAACAATACACAACAATTCATAATAATGATTATCAACAACAAAATATAACACGTTTTAAAGCGTTACGTTTTCTATCGAAACCAATTAAAAAAACCAGAAGTTTTTTTATAATCAATAATCAATCAATATCTTCATCAATCTATTCATATATTTCTTCTTATAATTATTTATTAATATTTTTAATTATATTTAAAATTTATTATTAAATTAAAAAATTTTCAATTTTTCATCTTTTTCTCTCTCTATATATATACTACTATCAAATATTATCAGTAGTATTAGTAGTTGTAATGAGTAATAAATATGTGATTTGTACAGTATACATGAAATGATATAATGAATGCAAATAGTATTGTTGAAATTATTCAAATCAACTTAATTCAAAAATGAATTCATTGAGAGAGAGAGAGAGAGAGAGAGAGAGAGAGGAGAAACATGTAATAGAGCCTTATACACAAAAGAGAGAAGAAACAAACAACAATAGATCTTTGTTGAAACCAAGTTGATTAAGAGGTTTCAATGGAGTTTCTTTCTTTTTCTTTTTGTTTTATACAATTGAATTTTCTTACAGATTTTATGTTTGTTGCCTAGATTGTTCTCTTTCCATATTATTTGTTCTTCTGTTGTTAAGTGATTTTTTTTCAATTTTTAAAATAAGATTTTCTTTCATGTTTTGTGTAATTTTGAGTGAATCAAACTTCTATTATGTTCAGATATTTATTGTAAGTAATTAAAAACAAACGAGTGTATATAATTTATAACAATTGTTCATCATGGTATATTTGGTCTAGTCATCAGGGAACTAATTAGTTGATAATAAACAATTACCTAATTAGAATAAATCAGAAAATTTACAATGATAAATATGAATTACTAAGAGTTTATAATTTCGCATTGTTGATTAATATTCAGGTTTACACCTGATTAGTATCTGTTGCTATATATGCCTCCTTAGTGAACTTGTTCACAAGTTAGTGTCTGTCCAAATTCATAAGCGTAGTCGATAAATGACATGGTAAGCGTTTGAAGCAAAGTGTACTGGATTCGAGTCTTAGTATGAATATTAACCACTGATATAGACGTACAGCCGTGTGACGAGGTCCACATGGGACAAAATGTGCATTTTGAGTCGTACTAATAGCCACAAACTAAATACATCAAAATTAATATAAATTATCACATATAGACAACAATGACAATACTAATCGCAAAAAGAAACCCATGTTGCAGTATACCGTCAACAGATCCATTGGCTACGACGGATGATATTGGCAGGTTTTACAAATACATAGAGTGTCTACACAAATTCATCTGTCAGGCTAAATTGTAGGCCTTCACTCATTTACACATTTATATAGAAGCGTCCTGAGAATATGCTAATAATATCAGCCGATGTACATTGTGTAAATGGTTTATGTTAACATTTCACCGATTAGAATTCAATGGAATTAAGTCCTGTGAAATAAAAACTACTAAAAACTTAATAAATATGTCGTTCTGTCTAAATTTGCATTGCGAACCATCCTATAGTTTGTGGGTGTAGATAAAGCCTGAATTGATAAAAGAGTTGATTACCTAGATTTTGATCTCCTACCAAATAATTCATTTTTTGAGTTGAACAACTGCTTGTCAGTTTTAACAACAGATATAAATTCGATAACTTACTAATCAGTCATTTTGTGAGGCAAAATAAAACTGCCATAACAAAACTTCATCTTTTGGTCAACTGAAGCATTCTACATCTTATGTTCAAATTAGTGTCTTGTAGCAGTTAAAGTGTATGATATTCAAGTGAAGCCAGGGTGCACTGAGGTCATATTAAGCAAGAGTAGTGGGTATTGAAAACAAGATACAACTGCCTATATGAATCATTAAAAAAGTTGATCACAGTGAGTCAATCCAGGCGATATAAATGATGTCTGAAGAATCATAGAAGACAATTACCAAGAAAAATAGGTCACCGAACATTAGGAAGCTAAAGGATAGGAAATGCAGTCAAACATATAACCATTCAGTCTTACAGGACATGATAACGATTGATCACACTAGAAAATAAATTGTGACAGCCAAATAGCTGTTAAAAATATTTTATTTCCAACTCGAGTAAATGTTTAAAAGAAAATTATGGACGGACGATTCAGTTACAACAAAAGAATGTATAGCGATAACGGAAACACGATATAATGTGAATTGAGTGCCTATGTGAAGTATTAACCATAAACTAACAACCATCAATACATGTGACTTAACCAAACAGATTACCTATCTTCATTGTGACTAATCGATAAGCCAATTATGCTTAAAGAAATATGATATACCGTTAACTATGTCAACGGAAATCCTCACTCGTATCAATGCCACATACCACCATATCTGATTCACTGACACCTAATTACATTGTCCAACCTCTAATAAAGCAACAAAAACAATACCAATCTATTCAATATGCACACATAAACAGATACTATTAATGACATTGTTACTAAAAACTACTTACAGTTGTTTCACATTTTTCCCAATGTAGTACAGGGTTAAACTTAGGGTTGAAAGAAAACGTCTAGTTTAGAAAAAAAAACGAAATTTTTTCATTCAATCTACAATATCGCATAAATTCCCCCCACTACCACAATATACATTTCATATAAGGTAAGACAAAATATTAATAATACCAATTTATTCTAAAATTGAGAATTACACATATAAATCATTCGACTTTGTCGTCAAAATCAGAAACAAATAGAAGAATCAAACTGATCTCATGTTGTATGTTGAATGATCAGACAGAAAAAAGATTGAATTTAATACCCGTAAGGTGTGTATGTGTGTATGGCAACATAAAGAAGATTTATTAAGTGTATACGAAAAATAAAAAAAGGAATAATATTTGAATGGTAGACATTTGGTTTGTACAAACCTTAATTATAGTAACGATAGTGATAACAATAATAATAAGGCAGACAGTGAAGAGAACAGGCAACATTTTTTATGCAGAAAGGCACTTCACAGTTGTTTGATATTTTTTTAAAATGAAAAAAACAACGATACAATATTGATGAATATTCTGCATTTTCGAGTGTGTATGTAACTGACTAATATGGCTAATGATGGCAAGCAAAATTTGTGCAGTTTTATTTTCGTAAATAAGGAAATTTAAACAAGAAACAAGTATATGAGAGGCATCAAGAAATTGACAATTTAAGAAGATACACAAAAATAGCACATACACATACACACACGCATAGATAAACATATTTATCTACGTGAAATGATTCCGTTAATTAAATTAATTATTTTATTTACGCTGATTTTATCATTATTATTATTATTGTAAACAGTTTGTAATTGTGTTTCTAAGGGATATCAATCACGAATGGGCTACCTGGTATATCTTGATCACCCCATTTAATTACTAAAAAGTGTTTACCACTATGAAATACACGATATGATACAGTGTATTGATTATTGGATAAATGTTTGACGACCACTTCTTCAGATGCTTGTTTCGGACCACAGATACCAATAAGTAGAACATCATTACCTGAGATAAAAAAATAGGGAATAGGCTGTCAATTGCAAAAAAACTTATACAAGTAAAAAAAACATTTTTGATTTAAGTAAAGCTGGAAAGTGGCTAGCAGTGGAATACAGCACGCTCGTTTCGCCCTTTTTGGGACTCGTCAGCTTGATGCACCTGCATCCCAGAGTTGATGTTCACTCTGGGACTCGATTCCATTACCGTTCGCTTCAAACACCATCGCGTTCTCCACTTAGCTACTGAGTCCTGATAGCCAACTGCTTGTGCAATGGGGTGAAGTTTCAATTCACTTGGTGTTGTTAACTTGTATCTCACTGCTAGCCATTATTCATCTTTGCTTAAAAAACTTGTGACTTAAGGCTATAGCGATGCAATCGGTGCAGGATGCACATGTGCCAACATGAGACTGGTCAATTGCAGTCCTAAATAACAATCGGATGATGCAAGTAAAACAACACCAAGTGAATTTATTTTTGATTTAAATTTACTTGAAAATAAATAATTGGAAAAGAAAAAAACACGACAATTTTACAGTCAGACAATCCTAACAAGTTGAATACTAGAAGGTGACTTGTCTTAGAATTTCTTAGGTACAACTGTTTAAGCGTACAATTTAATTTTACCCAAAAATGTCTTCTAAAACAAAATAGTCTGGGGCCTCTGGCTCATTTTAGTTTATATTAATGATATTTGAGATTTATCTTGTATGGGCAAGTCTCTTCTAAATACAGATGATCTAAAAGTAGTGTATTCATGCACAATTACATTAGTATGGAGCCCAACGAAATAGCCTGGTGGTGCTCAAAATGGTAGTTGGAGCTTAACACGGCTAAATGTTGATGGATGTGCTTTGGTAATACATCACTCAACTTGGATATTACTATAAATGGTAAGATATTATCTAAGTTATATATAGTAGTGGACTTAGTACTCCTACAATTTGATTTTCGCAGAACAGGTATCGAAACAGACTTCCAGGTCCTAACGTCCTATGGGCCGCATAATTCGTAACAACGAATCACGTATTTTGATGTATAAAGTTTGCGTTCGACCACTCACAGAATGCTGAACGATTATTCTTAGTAGTGTTCACATAAATTATAAATTAAGGTTGGAATATATTCGGAGACGATTCAAACTCCGCATTATGGAGACTGACTGTACCTTAAATTATGAGTCCAGACGTAATAAACTTGGACTGGACTCTTCATGGAAGAGCAGTCTCAAACTAAATCTAATCCTTTTCTTCAAAATACTTGATAAACTATCCTGTATATCCAGTGAAGCATTTCAATATGCAGCATCTATAACCCCTTGTCATTAGTGAAGCAATCACATTCTAAATCATCTCTTTATATGAATTTACTTTACCAGTAAATTTTCCAGACTCTGTGATAATTTACCACAATCTATCCTTGAGATAAAATCACTCTCATCCTTTTGTTCGCTGCATCGATGTTTACAGTTACTCTGAAAATGCATTAAATGTTCTTGCACCTGTAAATTTATCTTATTCCATAAGTGAGATTATAGGTACTTTAAATGTTTAGCCATTCTTATCATTGCATCGACTAAGTAAAACTACCTACTTTTACACTTACACCAATCATGGTAACCTTAACTAATTTGAATAATATCTAATACGAATGGTAGATTATAAAATAACCTGACATATGTATTATGGTAAACCTAATTAACCTATCGTAGTAAATATTGTCTTTTTCCGTGCTCTCTTGCTTCCGTTATAGATGGTTATAATCAATTCGTTATGGCTAAGGAAATGACCTTAAATGTACCGTTCAAACATCAACAGGATATCAACTTAAAAGGAATTAAAATTTCTAGGCTGATAACTTTCATTGTTGTAAAACGCGTGAAAAATGTCCTAACTGAACAATTTTCGAATTAGAAAACTTGAAACGATCTAGTATCACATATCAGTTCTCAACATTGAATATTATTATCTACATTAAACTGATCATGCCTGTAAACTGGGATGAATTATTGTTTATAAATAATTTTAGTCTGTGCGAAATGATTGATAATAAATTAGATTAGAATGTAGTCAAGATCCTATTGGGTAAGAAATCAAAGTGAGAGAAATAAAGGATCAATAAATGATTAATAATGACTAAATTTGAATGATATAAAGTTCTACCTGCTTGGCTTGCATCAACATTAAAACAATTCAGACGATCACGTTCTGCATATTTTAAACCAAGTCCTTGACAAGTGACTAATTCAGGATGAGATCCTGAGCAGTGATTTTCTAGTTCAGCTGAAGCTGATACTCCTGTCATTGTTTTACCAACAGTTTCTAAAGTAACATTTGATTGACGATCTTCCGAACGAGAATCAGTAACTTCTGATCTAGGCGTTCCTGTAACTTCAACCTAAATAGAAAGACAAGTGATAATAATATTAAAAAAAACCTTAAGGGTACACAGATAGCATAGAATGACAAAATGGACTGAAATGTGTTTCTGAACAGCAAATATTGATTTGATAGCTCGGAAACGATAATATAGTCCATAAATCCCTCACAGAAGTGAATACAAAACATATATTTCAGCATAAAAGGTTCAGAGAACAGCAACTAAGCTGATTCCCGGAATAGCGAAGCTCCCGTATGATGCTCAACTAGCCAAGCTAAACCTATTCCCTTTGTCATATCGAAGAACTAGAGGCGACGTGATTACAGTTTTCAAATTGCTTAGTGATAAATTTGCACCTGATATGTCCTCATTTTTCTTGTCTTCCAAAATAGAGAATTTACGAGGACACTTCAAAAACGTTCACAAGCCCAGGACAAATTTTTTGTCAGTTGACTATCGATTTTCCCATCGAATCATCAACGAGTGAAATTCATTACCTCAGCACGTGATTGAGGCCCCATCCGTCGACTCCTTTGAAGGAAAGTTGGATCAACTGAGACCACCATTGCCAGGACTAACACAGGCCATCAAACCTCCTGTCCTTTCCAAGCTGAAACTGAAACTGATAAGCTTTGTGCTAAATGGGACTCAATAGCAAGACTTAGCTTCTCTGTAGGATTCGAAATGGCGCTACCACTTTTATAATGTGAAATATTTCCATGGAGCCATTCGAATCGCGAGTGACCTCTTGTAGAACTGACGTATTTACAACGGATGGATCATTAGGTAGTGATCAATTTATTTATTTATTTTATTTTAAATCATAGATATTGGTACAAGGAGGCACCAAATATATATGTGCCACACGGATCTCATTTGATATGTGTGAGGGCTGTGATACTGCCCAGGGTGCCCAAACCGAAGCAGGTGGTTTTCTTAGGGGGCCACACCCCGAGCCTTCGACTTGACTGTCTGACCCACAAGGCAGTGGAGCATCGTGAGGAGATGCAGTCCCATGGTAGTCGTTGACCAACGATTGGTTCATACGCCATTTGTTCCCTCAGGCAGGATACCGGAGCCCATGTGCACCATTGGTTTGGGATCCGGTTAAAGCGCCGGACATTCGCTTTTCGTCCTCTCATTTTGGTAAAAGACACCCCCGCTACGAGAAGGCAATGAGTAGGACTTCCCTGGCAGAGGCTGTATACGCGTGACCATGTGAGAGCATTTCGAGAGGGAGAGCGGACTCTCTCCACTCTCGGCCGTACCAGGGCATTTGGGGTAGTGATCAATGTGATAGTTTGTCTAATTATTCTATGTATTACATTTTTATAACAATAATATAGACTAGGAGAAAATAAAGTATATAATTACTATTACTTACTCGAAATGGTGAACCACTTATATGAAAATTACCACCATATTTAATAGTTATTTCATAAATACCAGGGACAGTTGGTGTATAGAAAAATGCATAACCTTCATCATGTTCTTGACTAGTAACAGTTGCTTTACTTGGTCCATCGACTGTGACATTTAATACACCACAACCAGCATTAGTAGTATTAACGAAAAAGGAATTCTTCATATCTACAATAACAATGATAATAATAATAATAATTTATTTGTAAAACCTTCTAATCTAATTAATAAAATGAGATTATATATTAAAAAAGAAGATTAAATTGTTGACAAGATGAACTCTATATACAATACATTTGATGAATACTTCTTTAATTATTATCATGATGTGATATAGAAAAGATTAAACATTTCAAACTATCTATATTCAAGTGAATCAACTGTTTTATGAGTAGCATAGAATTGGAAGGACTAATTTCATGTGTGTACACTTATAATAAGCAATCATTATTATTATTGTTATTATTATTATTACCATTATTATGTCATAATTAATAAGATCGGTATAATACATTACTTTACCAATTTGAATTATACAATAAATGAGAGAAAGCTGGATTAATAGAGTAATGAACAATATCAGATTCGTTGAGATAGTAAAAGTGTGTGTGTGTGTGTTAGATTTTAGAAATAAGTAATATAAAGTGTAAAAATAGTTTTGAAGTAATTTCATTGAAAGAATATAAAAGAGATTTAGTTATAAAGAACAAATATCAATAGAATTGGACGAAAATATTGACATAGATAATTAAGTGTTGTAAATAAAGATGGATAATGGCTAGCAGTATAACACGAGCCACTATCCATCTTTGCTTATAATACTTGTGAATTAAAGTAATATTGAGGCAATCTGTACAGGATGCACATATGCCAATAACAGATTGATCAATTATAGTTCTAAACATCAATGGAAAGATTCAAGTAAAACAATACCAAGTGAATTTAAGTGCTGTAAATATTACAGAGAAGATATAAAGTAACATATATGCTTAGAGGTGATCTATGCTCGAATTAGGAATACAATCAGATAGCTAGAAATAAGAGCAAGAGTATAGTATAGGAATGAGTTTTTTCCTAAAAAGAAGCATGATGTAACATTCTATTCAAAGCTTAATTAATTTGAATAAAACACCTTATATTCATAAAATCGCTTAAGTAGAACAAGAAAGTGTGATTGTTTCGGATCATGAACCGATTGATGTTAGACCACGATCCCGCGGGGCAGAGTTGTGGATGCGCACTGCTGAGGAGTCCCACAATAGGACAAAACGGTCGTCCAGTGCTTCCAGGTTTTCAATGGCGGTCTAACATCACTCGATTCATGATCTCAATCAAAAACTTGACAATCTTCACAACCCCTAAACTGATAAGTGTGATTGTGTTCGATCATAGTAGATTGTGTTTGGCTAATGAATATGATGACAGACAATTACAGTAATTTCATAACCATTTTATTGGGATAGTATACAACTATCAGTCAAACCGATAATGCTTTCTTGATTTAAGTTGAATTAACGTATGAGAGACTCGTTCAATTGTTTTGTCTGAATATCTAGCATCCGTGAACGACAATCAATTCTATTGTTTATCCCAGGAAAATAAGTTTCACATCAGTGAAGTTGGAAAAATGTTACTTTATTTCATTAATAGAAGTAATAAATAGCTATTTGACTAAATATAAAGCAGTCGATTATTTATGAAAGCATTTTCTGAATCGAAATATCCACGATTATCTCAAAATAACATTGACATTATTATTAATTAATTTTAAAAAAATGTTACAAGTGAACGTACCAACTTTTCCTTTACGTAATCCTTCTCCAGAGGCGCATACCATACCTGGATCAGCAGCATGCTGACTAACTACAAGGCGGAAAGGTGAACCTTGAATTGATTTATACAATGAATTTGGACCAAAACTCCAATCAGCTTTATTTGAATCCTTTATAGGCACAGAATGAACATGAACTAAATGTGGACCGCCTTCACGTGGAACAAAACGGATTACAAATTGATCTGGGTCAATAGGTTGGACAATAGCATCTTCATGAGTACCTGAGGGAGTTGATACTTTGGCTTTTAAAATATACCCAGGAGTTTCAACATGATGTACAGTGAAGGCTATTGGACGTCCAATCTGATCAAAAAATGATATGATAGGTTGAATAAGAATACCATTGATCACAGTTTCTCATTAAGGCATAATATAATATAATTATATTATATTATAATTATATATATAGAGTATTCGTAGAGATTGTCAAATCCTATAGTAATTTTATACTGGTAGTAGTCTGAAGGATAAGCGCCTTATTAAAAACCTAAAGACCCTACGTTCAATCCCCCGTTGGGTCCCATATTAAGACCAAACAACTATCCACAGCTTCCTAATTTATGTCAGTCCGTAATGTAAAAGATGAGAATTCAACAATCTTTAAGATTGTTTCTCCCTAAACCAATATAAATATGTATAAATAATACGTTTACCAAGCTTACTCGAAGTGTTTCTTCTTTACTGGATGTACTGCGAGCAGAGTGAACATCAGCGGTACGAGAAGGTAGAATGTACGATGCTATACGTCTAGTTTGTGTGGAGTCAGAAACATGTATACGGAATGGAGAACAAGGAATGTGTTCATCATTGAACTTAAGTGAGCAGATGTATGTGCCTGGTGCAGTAACACGATATAGTACAGCTGAAGAACCATCGCGTCTTTCCTGAGATGAGAAAAAATAAAACAAGAAAGAAAGTATATACAGTATATTCATGATGTGAATAGAAGAACAAGGAAGCCATGACAAAGCAATTTTTGGGGTACGTTATTTCACTTAATTCAAAGATTGTAAAACACTAACATTTAGTTTTGTCCCTAGTTTATTTAACAAACCATTAGCTTTCGTTCGATTCACTGTCATACCCCTTTTTTTCCCAAAGCTATTGTTATTTAAACGAAACCTTTTGTACTCCCTTTTTTACCCTAATGCCCAGTATGGACATAATTGTATTCCTGTAATTGTTTGTGCATTATGGTCATGTTAGTCATCTATTTATTCATGTATCCTTTTATACTAATTCGAATCGGGATCAGGAATAAATTGAGTAGTGTTTCAGTTGATTCGTCTCCTCTCTATCTTGTCAACCAAGCAGGCGGTGTGGCGCATATGTATTTGGTTCATCTTTGTACCAATATTGACGTGTTCAAATAAATAAAATAATAACATAATTCTGCTACAAAATCCTAGAGTTATCTTTTAATGACACAATCTAAATCTTATATAAAATTTTTGGGGAACAGTCCTCAATATTAAGCATTCGCTATCAGTGTTTTCAAAATCTCCATCCGATGATTATCTCACTCATGCTAGGAAAGTAAGTTGAGAATGTGAACGATTTAAAAAAATGAAGTTAACGTAAATCAATTTAAATATCTGATTTTTATCTGTGGATTAAAGAACCCAGAAGATGCAAACATCCTCACCAGAGATCCAACTCTCATTGAGCAGGAATCTAACATATGACAGCTTTAAAATTCAAGAGAGAATACATCTGTTTGATAATGATAGATTTTTAACCACATTATCGAATTTATTCAACAGGTGGTCACAATAACCACAACCTGAACCAGGTACTTTGTATCAATACACGTCTCAGTCAAAGACCTCATGTATAGGTGTCAAGTTTTAGTTTGGCGATCAATAATAATCTCTCACTTTACTTCTATGTGAGCAAATATTATGTGTCAAGGCAGGCGGTGGTTAAGCATATGTAATAAATATCCGAATCACCTCAGGAGACTGATATCCACTACCTACTTTATCAACCGGGAATTTCTTCAAATCTCAACCCACTGGAGTTAATGGAACTATTAGAAAAAACAAAGCAGTCAGCAAGCTCATCAAGTAAAGAAGTAATATTTCTAAGGATAAAATGAAAACGATGACTATTATTATTCATTAAAACGAAGTTCCACCACATACATACATCGCAATCAATTTCTGCTTTACTAGGACCTTCCATTGCAATTGACAATGTTCCAGCGCCTGCTTCACGTGTATATATTGAAAATTCATTAGTAATATGCGTCCAGCCCTCTTGAAGACCAGAACCGATTGCTCTAACTTTGTTAGCTACACCATCAATGATTGGACCAACGGTAAAGTGGAATGGACTCCCTGGAAAATATTTAATAATAATAATGACAAAACAAAGATAATTTATGATTGATGCCATGTAATGTAGTATCTGTTATAGTATTTAAATCAGTAAAGGCATTGTAACTTTCTCAACTATGCATCACAGAAGTATCTGAACAGAACTAAACAATTGTTTTTGGTATCGACGATAAAATGGAAAATAAACTTTCGAAACATCTGTTATCTACTTTAACACAATAAACTCCTCTACACAAAGCATCATCATCCAGTATATCAGTAGACAGTAGAAAGCATTGAACATACTGGATGAACTAATGAATATTATGAATCATTTTGAATAAACAGTTGAAAATATTAATTTTTATATCTAGTTTCATCTCAATGCCAAATTGATGAAAGGTGATGGATATAAAAAATTATTGAATCTGTCTATGGAATATGAGTGAAATAGTAATAGTTTCCTCAAAGTTTTAGTAAATGAGGTGATTTCAGCATGTGTGTAGGCGATTATCAGTTCTCGACCGTCCACACTATGGAAGGGACTTGAAGAGAAAATTACCTTAGGTATGCTCTTGAAGACTCGAAGACACGATCGCAGAGTACAAGAGACAACTGTTTGTAGTTATCAACGTCCTGTTAGAGAGCAGTTTTGAAATGGTTATTCTATATTTTTAAGGTCTTATCACCAACAACGCGAATTTATAGGGCAAGGTGAGGTGTGATATTTTTAGGATTGATGCTTTTTTAAACTAATTAAATGAATCTACAACTGAAACATCAAATGTACTGAAAATAAAACTACTTATATAACTGATGCGAACAGGGAAACAAGAAGCCCTGACAAAGTACGAAAGCTATTTTTCAGGACGTTATTTCATTTTATTCAAAGCTTGTAAAACATTAACATTTATTTTTGTCCCTAATCTATTCTACAGAACATAAGCTTTCGTTCGATGTATGATTCATTGCCATACCCTTTTCTGTTCCGAAGCTATTGTAATTTAAACATTATATTTTCTACTTTAATTCCCAGCTTTGGACATAATTGAATTTTTCCTAATTATTGTACGTTGAGGTCGGGTTATTCACCTATTTATTCAAGTACTTTTTTACACTATCTGAAATCAGGAAAATCGGGAATAGGTCGAGTAGTGTTCCAATTGTCTTGCCTTCTCTCACTCGCATGCTTGTCAGCTAATCAGGTGACAGGATAGTTTTCTTCTCTCTACCCCACTTCGAACTCACGCGTACTAGCTTCAAGGTCAAGCCGGTCAGCCTATCGCGTCAAGGTACTAATCTGGATTAGATAAGTTATCCTCAGCACCAAAAGTGGGTACACAGATCAAGGACGTAACAATAACGAAATAGGTATGGATAACTAATATCCAGCTGATTTTCATCATGTTGTAATGCCAATAAAGGTATTTGGAAATGAAGAGAAATAATACCCTGTTAACAAACTGTTCATAGCTGAATCAAAACAATGTGGTACCACGTTTTCATTGAATGTCACAATTTCTAGTCGTTTCAGTAATTATAAACTCCGAAAAGTATAAAAATATAATGAAGTTATCACGAAAATTATAATACAAAATGAAGACAATACATTCTGTGCTCTTTGACTAGATAATGTATATTTCGTATAAAGTAATTATCAATGATTAACACAATTTACCTGATATTTGAATTCCCTTATGTTTAACAGTTACTAAATGTTCACCCATTTCTTGTGGTATAAACTTAATGCTATAATGTTCATTATCAATGGGAACAATTTCACAACGAGTAGTATGACCAGAAGGTGAAGTGATTGTAGCAGATAAATCATTTGGATTTGTATCTGGAATAATTTTAAAATAATAAATTGACTTTTATATATACACTAAGACAACTAAAACAAAATGGCTATTTGAATTTATAAACAAATTGGAAATGATAAGTTGTGTATGGATGTTGAGAAAACTAGGATGAATATCATACAGTTTACTGCATTCTTCAAATGATGTTATTGTGTAAACTTAAGAGTCTACATCAATAAAACAGACTTGGGGTAACAGACATGGATATAATACTTTTTACCAAAAGACATGTAACTGTCATTACATCACATCCATTGGTCCTAACTATCAAGCATTAGTTGTGAGACCTGAAAGTCCTGAGTCCGGTCCCCAGTCGGTTCGTGGGTGAACAGTGCTCAGGTATCCCATCACTAGGATGAGACAGTTATTTATCCAGTGCTCCTTGGTATTAAATAGGGTGTCTGAACTGTGATTAAATGGTGACGGGTACAACATAGAAATAAATTAGTTAAGATCTGGGTGTTGTTTAAAATTACAAGAAATATGACAAGCCTAATTAGAGATATCCCATTGGTTTATTCAGTCAAAATATAAATTTACATAATCTTGTAATAAAAATGCAAGGAACTCATTTCACTATTTATTTCTATTTTTGGCTTGTGATAAGTCGTGCTACCGTGACACGCTTAAACTATCTTCCTAACCGGTTTTCATGATCGAACTACTTCCACAAGTTAACTAGAACACTGGAGAGAAGGCGTGAATTGTGCATAAGAACTTTGCTCTAAAGTTAGTTTCACGTACAGAAAAACAAGAGTATTTATTGCGTTACACACGACCTTGAAATTTCTGGAACCATAATAAATATGGTAGCACTATAGGTGAATATTAAATCAAAACTTTGGTATGTGATCCGGTATTTTTTAGATGTTTTTGCGAAGATTCTACTCAACACTTATTGAACAAAACATTTTCTGGCGTTTCTGGTCCTCTAGAGACTTTGACGAAGGATATTTTTGGGACTCTGTCAACAGATTGAAAAAAGAAAATGAAATGACAATTATTCTTTCTATGATATACAGCTTATTATTTCACTGTCATATGGGCTCGATTTTGAAGCATTGAATTATGGTTAGGATAGTCAAGTTACAATTACGATTTGTCAATTGCAAAAATATAATACAAAGAGTAGTTACTAAAATATATGGTATTTAATTAGACAACACACAGTATAATGAATAGAAAATTCTATTTGTACACTAACCTGTAAGCCGTAGACTTAATTCACATCGACTGCCAACACATGTAACTTTTGAAGCTTCACGTCGTCTAGTAATTCGTTCCATCATTTTCATTGAAGGTTCTCCACCAATATCAACACAGAATGGGCTATTCGGGACATGAACATTAGCATACTTTACATTGATAGCATATTGACCAGGTTCCGTTGGAGTGTAGATAACAGTACATGTACCATCATTATTATCGTGACATTCTATATCTGCATTACTTGGACCTTCGATAGAAAGACTTAAACCAGCATAACCTACATGCATTAGATTATTTTAAAATAAACGAAATCTATGACATTACATTACTTTATAAAAATAAAAATGTTACTTTGAATATATATATATATATATATATATATATATATCAAACATCTTGATAGTTACAAAAGAGAACAGAAATTACCCACTACTCCAGCTTCACTTGTTCATGTATGTACTCACCTCTGTTTAAACGTCCATCGAAATTTTATAGTTTACATCACAAATTGACCCTTGTTAGACAACCATGACACAGTTGTCTTGTCGTAGTATGGGACTCCTCAGCAGTATGTCCCTGCATGACTGAACTGAAGATGGAAACTAGGATATCTAGGTCTCATGGTGAGTGCTTAAGTTCTAGATCACTGAGTCTGTATATATTATTTTGTACCTCTACTTTTAACTAATATCAGATATTGTGCAACCATCTTCCAAAATCTCACAGGCAACATAATTGAACTTAACTGGTTACCAGTTTTCACTAGAACTCAAGTAATCATCTGATGTTTTCTTTTGATAGATAATATAATAGTTAGGTTGAATTACTTCGATTACATTTATGACTTGTATCATAATTATTGGATGAAAACCTTCCAAATCAATGACAGATTTTCATTACTTTATTTTAATGACATTTTTTTGCATTTGTCTTGCTTATTTCGTTAATTTGTTCATCAAATCATATAAAGAATACTGAATTAAGTTGAACTCGTAGTGTAATTCCCTAGTAGAAAATACTCCGTTAATTGGCACAATTTGGTGAACATAAAATACTACAAAAAATATCACTTTGATTACTGTAATAAATGACCAATCGATATAAGTTAATCAATTGTTTGGAATACATCTCTGTTTGTTAGATCCAAATACTGAGAAGTTTCAGTATGCCATTTCTATATCGTTTTCAATATAAGTGAAGGTACGTATTCTAAACATATTGATTGATTTGTTACCAAGTATATATGTACTGGTATAGGCGACAGTTATAATTACAAATCATTCGTTAGATGTTACCGTAAACTTCAAGGTAAGTTATAATATTTAAAGATACCTTTAAAGTAGTTATAAGATGCGACCAAGTATCATACGTAACAGAGGATCGGCATACGAAAATGTGATTGTTACATACCTTATGTTCCAAGGAAACATTTCGTCTTACACATGAGAATACAGATGTACTACTACTGATCAAGGAAGATACCAGGGAAATGATATCACTGATCAAGGAGTACACCATGATGACACAAATTCACTATACTAAAGATTATTTTAATACTAAATACTTAAGTGTGTAAACGAAAAAGATTTCTTGGTTCGTAAAAAAATTACTGATATAGTGAACGAAGACTTAGTGGGAATAACCAATTTATTGTTTAGAGCAAAAGGACAGTGCCTTCATAAAATACGAAAACCATACATACACATCTATCCTCATTTGTCCTGTACGTGCTTCATAATCCTTCTCATTCCGTTGTTGTTACAATTGCGTTCTATTTCATTTCCTGTTCTCTTCTATTCAATCTTTTGCTGGAAGGCATTCTGCATCCGATGGTGCTACATACTACTTATATCTGTCAACATAAGTAGCATACATTACAGAGAGACACTTGTTATGTGTAGTGTTTTATATCAGTCGACTAATTTACTACAATCATAGATGTTAACAATGCCAACTAAGTTGAATTAAAACAGATTTACCTATCTACGTCTGGTCTATGAGAGCATTTGAATAGTTATTTAATTTATATGATAATTGAAAAAGATTCAGAAAAATAGAAATATATAATGATCAGTTGAAAAATGTTTAGCAGTAGTGCTTCAAATAGATACAATACAGGCAAAATTATGTACAATACAAAAAACCATATTATTACCGGCATCACGTGTATCCACTGTGAATTGATTAGGTTTATTGGATAAACCAGATATTAAACCTGGTCCACTAACACGTACACGTCGTGGATCACCGATTTCTTTTTCAGAAACACGAATTCTAAATGGACTATTGGCTATATGCTTTCCTGCTTGAAATACACTAACCAGATGTTCACCGACCTCCTTAGGAGTGAATGAGATACCTAAAACATTGAAAAATATATATACATAAGAATGCTATGAGATAGAATCGCATGATAAACAAAAAGCGTTTAGGATCTATAATAATTAATGGATGAAACGGACTGATCCATTGGTTATATCCGATGAGACTGAATTATGCCCACTAACAAAATTGAATTATTAACGTAAGAACCCTTACTGAACGAATATTGAAAGAAAAGACAGCTGTCTGGTACAGTAAGCTGTATTTCTAACATAATAATAGGCTTATATATAAAATATTCAACAAATAAACAATTGAAGGATAATGTTAACTATGGTTCGCTAATTCACCAATGGAAGTAATATCAGAACTGTTTCATAATATTTTGGCAGACACAATTTAGTATGCACAATGATCAAAAAAGAAAAGATAATAAATGAATGATTTAAGCGAAATTACAATTATCGGCTTACAAGTAGTATAAACAAGTATATTACATACATATGAGGCTAGAAATGTGAAATATACTAGTTATTAATGAACATTCACTTCAGTCGTATTATAGCGAACGAGAACACCATTGGGTACAACCAAATATATTTGAACATAAATTACGGAATCTCTTAGCAAAATCTGAGAACCATACAGTATATAATTCATTTGCAATATATTAATCAATCGTCTCAGACTTTATTGTTCTTTCGTTTCCACACCGATCATTCTTTGTTCTCGTTCGCTTTTCTTCGATCTTCTTTATCGTCTGCCATCAGGCATTTCACGTTCGATTGATGATATATAGTACTTATATCTGTCGACATCAGTAGCATATACAACAGTACACCTACCTACATAAAGACTCATGAAACAAGGGTGGGTAGGATATATCTCACTGTTACTTCGCAGAAATGTTTCGATTCTCAGTTAACTGAATTATGTAATTTTGCGTTCATTATATGGTCCAAATTAGTTACGATACATTGACTCCTGTGGTGCACTAAACTCACGATGCAAGTGAGATTGAAAAAAGGTGCTGGGTTCAACTGTCAGAACAGAACCACAACCATTGGTATGCATACATTTGTTATTTTAATCTAAATAAAGAGGAGTAGGCTAGGAGAACGAGTGAGTGCTTGATTGACATCCTCCAATAGCCTATCTCGTTTCGAATCTCTCACCCAGCTTCGACCTTGAAGGTGGAATGTGAGTACATGAATGTGATATGTATGTACTAGCTCAGACTATCATTTAGTTAAGTCGATTATTTCGGGATTCAAGTCATACTGGTTAGAAAGAAACAACCATAATGCACTATTTTCTCTTGGATTTTATTAAATTAGAAAATTTAATCGAGTATGAAAGGCATACACATACCTAAACGATTATTAGGCAAACTTTTCAATACACATGGCTCTTCTCGACCAGATGCACTGTGAACACTAGCTGTTAAAGTGGCAATATCTTCATCAACAGCTTCCAAAGCGATATCACTTGGTGCACCCATGCTCACTTGAGAACGTTTCAATAGATCACCTGGAGTAGAAAAAAAAGATAATTGGAGATAAAAGATTCTCCGCATAAGATTTCATAACTATAAGTTATGGTTGCAGAACCTAGTTTGAACAGTACGGCCTTACAGTCACATACAAAGACTATTTAATGAAATATCTCATTCGTAAACAAGACAATGAAATCACATTGAAAAAGTACTTTTACTTAAGAGAGTAAGATATTTATTGGGATGGAAAAAAGAGAATTGGGGAATACGGTAATGGTGAATCTTACAACTAAGTGAAGTACCATTATAAAGAGGATGGGCAGAATCAAAAGAAACCACCAAATAATGATGATAATATTGTAATCTCTTTTATAACGGCAAATATTTATTGAAGAGTATCGGAATAATGGGACAACATAAAGAGTTGACCATGAGATTGACTAAGGAAAAATATAAAAAAAAACAAGACTAGTAATTTGGTTTCTCCAGGTCATTAAAAGTAGGCACTGTGATCCACTGACTTGTCAGTGATGATCACAGGTTTGAATTAAAACAAAATCCCATTAAATTAAAAAAATGTTTTTAAAATAAGAAAAAGACGTCAGGAAGTATTGAATTAACTTTCACCAGAATACTGATTTGAAACGTTTCAATGTAAATAAAGTTTTGCATAAAAGATGAGAACGAGTCAAATGTGACAATTATTGTCTTCTTGATACAGGGGAATAATTTTACAAGACAATTATTTTGTCTCACTAGTGACTGACTTCAAGAGATACTCCTGAAGTTCTAGTGAGAAGCCGTTACCAGTGGAGTTCAACCAGGTCTGTTGTGAGATATCAGCTCACTGAAGACAATGGTGTACGGTGGCGCAACTTCGTAGATTGATTGAAGTTAGACATTAACACCGTTGGATGCCGGCTCAGTGGTCTAGTTGGTTAGGCGCCTGGCGCGAGACTGATAGGTCCTGGGTTCGGGTCTCGCGAGGAGCGGGATCGTGGATGTGCACTGCTGAGGAGTCCCATACTAGGACGAGACGGCCGTCCAATGCTTCCAGGTTTTCCATGGTGGTCTAGTTTCAATGGATTCATGATTTCAACCAGTGAAATTATTTTGTTCTTACGGAGATCTATACATGACTTGTAAAAACAAGTGTGAAAGAATACTTGCATTTATAGAGATTTAAAAGGCTATCGTTACAAATGATTAATCATTTATTAGTGATCAATGCCGTGTATTTGTCTTGTCCTTTAGTGCTGATTGGATAGTATCAAATTATAGTACGGCCTCACTAGTTTAAATGATTCGGCATCGCGTCCATTATGTTGAGGTGTTAAGCGGCGACTACATTCATTCACCTGATAAAATGTTACTGTGTTCATTGATTAAGAACAAGTGCATCGTGAAGATAATACAACTAAGAAGCAAGTCAAAAGACTATTTCCAACCGCCTCGTTAACCTAAAACCACTGCCTCATTATATAAAATTGAATAGAGTTTAGCAACAATTACAGTGCAAGTTAACTAGCTTGCAATTCTATTTACCAACGACATACTTTCACGCTCTGGTATGGTGGAGGGTAGAGAGAGTTAACTTTCCCTCTCGAAACGCCCCCCCCCCACATGGCCACGCGTATATACCTATGAGCAAGGAAGTCTTACTGTCTTCTAGTGGCGGGGTATTGTTAACGAAAGTGAGAGAACGATAAGTGGATGACCGGCGCTTAAACCAGGTTAGTGGGTGCTGAGGATCCAACTAGGGGACTTAGGAAACCCTGATTCCAAACCAATGGTGCACATGGGTTCCAGGATCTTGAGGGAACAAATGGTGTATGGACCAGTTCTTGATTATCGCTACTAACGTTATTCCACTGCCTTGTGGATTAGACCTCCAGATCAAAGGCTCCGGAAGTGATCTCGTTAGAAAACCATCTGCTTCGGTTTGGTCACCCGAGCAGTATCCCAGCCTACACCCAAATGCAACGGTTTGTGTGGTGCATAAATATTTTGATGACCCTTTGTAACAATTTTTTCATAATAACTACAACTAACGACATAAGTATCGGAAACTCCGCAAAATTAAAAACGAAAAACTTTTCCTTTTGTAAAAAAAGTTTGACTATTCAACTACTTGAAATCAATAACAAGAAGAGTTAGTTGGCATCAAATTAATGAACAAGGGAGTCATTTTAGATAAGCACGATGCGAAATAATACAAATAACTAGATAACTAAACTGCCTGCAAAAAAAGAAAAACTGAAGCTACGAAGATCGAGTGTAAGATACAGAGTACATACATCTGTTCCATCGTGACTGAATCAGAGCCATGATGTGACTCCAACCACTGGTCATGGTCGCTGAATTGACCCCAACTAAGTAGCTTGAATCTACAGACATAGGTTAGTTTAACAGCTGATGAGTTCATACACTGATGTTACATTTTGATTTGGTTGCTCCAACTTACTTCTAACTCACACTTACATCATATAGCATAACATGTTGAAATAGACAGTTGCTTCTTTTTCTAAAGTGCTACAAATCCCTTCTCGTCATTTTCGCTGAGTCAGTTTCTTAGCAATTGATCATTCCACCCCTATTATGAACAACAAAATTCCACTGTATTTGAACAGGTAAGCAGCTGATTCAGATAATTGGTTCTTACTTATTCTAATGTATATTCTTCAGATCAATAGTGTATAAACATTTAAGTATTAAACAAATAAAAAAAAATTTAAATGAACAGTGACATTCAACAATAATAAATGCGGAAGCAGGAGAGCTATTCGCTCCCCTTAGAACCTATTACTGCTTCAGTAAAGTAAATAAGCTACAAATTGACTAGCAAGAACCTAGCGTGCTTTAGGTTAGGAAAGAAAAATGGTAAGCATACGTTTATTACCATAAAAAAGGGCAACACAACATGGAGATATAAACAATAGTGACGATTACGATTCATGAATAAATAAAAATACAACAAATCTACAAAATAACGCATGAATACCTTGATTGGAAATCAACTCATAAAGATTATATAGATGAAGTCACCAACTTAAATGTATGGAAACAGTTTACAACATAGACTGATTCAAACTGGACAATCATTTAAAACTAGGAAGGACAGAATAGTTGTTTTGTCTAAATATTATAAGGCTTTTCAGTACGACGTGTTCGTAATGAGGAGCGGTGGTCTATGAAGTTGATCTTTGTCCAGTGTTAGACAGACATCACTGACGGTTACGCAGTAATGTAGTAATGAAGTTGAAAATGTGCATGAGTGGATACCAAGCCGAAGGTCTGAAAACAATGCACTCACAGCGAAGTCTAAAGTCTTTAGGGTTTCATCACCGAACGGATTGTGAGTACGAAATGCTGAAGCAAAGTTTCATTGTATGGAGCAACAAATGTTCAGTACCTCTTGGTTTCCAATGGTTATCTAGCTAAACTGTGTTAATATTGTATACGAGGTTAAGAAACCTTTCTTTTCTCCTATTCTGAAGTAGCTAATGTACGATATTTTCGTACAGGATATTGCGATTATTATTATTACGTATACTAGTCTGTAACAGACAGAATTAGGCGGGGGTCAACGACAATCTACTGGGAACAAATAGCAGTAATAAGTAGTGCATAAGGCTACGAAAAGTTTTGAAAAAGTGTATAAGTGATAATTCACTACATAATAGGGTGCTTAGCACATATAATTTAATTATTGAAAATAAATGTGCATAAATAAAAAAAAAACAGAAGCAAAGAACCTACCATTCCCTTTCATAATCGATAATTTAGGGCCTATATATACAGTAACCAGATATACATACATATATATTTCAGGGGATAAATTAACATTTTGCAGAGATTACTAAATCTTCGTAAATTACATCATGGACTGATCTGAGTTAAACTACTACTGAAAACCCGGATGCATTGGACAGCTAGTGTTTACTGGTAAAGGACTCCACAGAAGTGCGAATCCACGACAAACTCAGGATCTACGGTATCGGACGAATGCTTGATATCTTGATCAGCTTGTAAACTATGTAAAATAATCCAAGGATCTCCACAAAATAATTACACTACTACTACTACTACTATTACTACTACTACTACTACTAATAATAATAATGTACTCACTAGTGTTTAACTTCAAGATAAAATTACTGAAGTCTAAAGAGTTTGATTAATCGAGAAAAGTGAAACATGTCTTACTCGATCTATTTAGTAACTGCTTCGTTATAGGTTATTCTTAAGACAAAGTACAACAGATTGAATAACCGAAATCTATGTAAGCACATATTTAGAAGACAGGAATTACAGTACACTGTTCTTAAGAAAATCACAGGACAAACAACAATAACTATGACGTCATCAGTCTCATTATTAATTGCTTACCTGTGATTTTAGCGATAAATGGTGATCCAGGTATATGCTCATCTGCAAATTTAATTGTTATTGTATACTGACCAGGTGCAAGTGGTAAATAGCTGACACTACAAGTACCATCAGCATTCTCCACACATTGTATTTCCGCTTTGGAAGGACCTTCTACAGACACCGACAAACCACCTAGCATAAGAAAAACAAATCAAAAGAATTGAAAAATCAATTTTAGCAAGTTTGCAATGAAAAAAAGTGCGTATGGCACACATTATCCAAAGATTTACATTTTAAATTTAATATAAAAGGGTCTAATCACTGTACTTTTTAGTTATATCCATATTTGTAAAGGATTGTATATTCCTACTGGTGACATTAAGAATCTCTACTGACATTTGTACATACTGAGTAGATCTACTCGACATTGTCACTTGGTTGTAATATTTTGTTGTATTTGGATAACGGTCAACAGTCGTATCAAGGATACCTGTTTTACTCTCTTTGGAACTTATTGGTTGGATGTGGCAATATCCTCCTGTTGATGTTTACATAAAGACTCAAACCCAGTACATTTGGCCTCCAGATGCAATGGGTTATCCACTGAAACAACCGATTAGGAACATGCATATACAACTTATAACATCAAAAAAGGGAAATTCTCACAAAATAAAATCCACACAGGTCATACTATCTAATGGCAAGCTGGACTCAGTAGCTCACTGAACAATGTGTTTGTTATATCTAGAAGGTTGTTACTTGATATACCGCGTATAACTGAACACTAGAACGCCAAAATCCTTCCAAGTCGCAAGGAGAAGACAGAAGACTAGTGAAAGGAATATTATTCCGAACAGTGTCAATTACGGTACAAATTGTCAGATATTTATAGTTTTTAGTAAGAACAAAATCATTATTACAGTCCTCTGATCCGCATACGGGGGGTTGTTAGCCTTGTCCAATCGAGAAGCTACACGTAGGAAGTCTAGAACATTCTTCCTAAAGGTGATTGGATGGAATATCTTCGGCTCCTTCTGAGCCTCTTACAGCTTCTTTGAGTTCACCCGTGGTCCGTCGTCGCACCTCCCTCCTTTAAAGTCCGTTGTGTAGGATTTCTTTCTCGGATCCACCTGGAACTTGGTGGCCGAATTCCTTTTACGGTCCATCACTCTCGAGGGTTTTACAACTTTTCCCTTGCGTCGTTTGTCTCCTCTATGTTTGTGCTCATGATGGCTTTTCTGAGGTGAGTCCACGAGCAATCGAAATGGGAGCCGGCTTTCTGGAACCACTGTACTGCTGTCTCTTTGCATTTGATTTATGTGTCTTATGCATTTTCCGACACCTTTCCTGACTAAGTACAGTACAATTCCGATTCGACGTTCTATGACACCTGGTTCCCACTTCCTATTACCTTGATACCATTTGACAAGTACCCTTTCACCCACCTGGAAGCTACGAGTGACCGTACGATACTCATTCATGGGTTTTATTGTCTTTCTGGGCGGCAACATACTGTTGAAGACTGTCCAAATTTTCCTTCCAAACATACACTCGGTTGGTGACTTTCCTTTTGGTAGTGCCGGATTAGCGGTAACTCTGTAAGACATTAAGAACTTACTGATCACTTGTTCTGGGATACCCTCACCGTTCCCTTTTACCAGAGCTCTTTTTATCGTATCCACGAATCTTTCTGCTTGGCCGTTCGGCTGTGGATGATACGGAGGAGATTTTAGATGCGATATGCCATTTTCATTGCAAAAGCGTTTGAAAGCGGATGACATAAACTGAGTGCCGTTATTGGTCACTAAGATCTCTGGAACCCCAAAACAAGCAAACAATCCCGACAATCTTTTTATTGTACTCTCTGATGTCGTTTTCGGCATATCATATACTTTTGGCCATTTTGTAAAACCATCGACAACAACTAAGTGATTTCTGCCTTTTATCGGTCCGGCGAAATCAGCGTGTATTCTTTGCCAAGGCCCGTCCGGTTTTGGCCACGGTTGTGGTCCAGCTTTCGTTGGATTCTTCGCAGCCTCTAGACAGGACCAACAACTGTGACATTTTTGTTCTATATCACGGTCCATTGACGGCCAGTATGCATAGCTGCGAACTAGTGACTTCATTTTACTTATCCCCGGCTGCCCGCTGTGAAACTCCTTAATGACTTGGTGCCGAAGACTTCTGGGGATAACGATACGGTGGCCAAACATGATGCACGAGTCGAAAACTGTTAAGGAATCTAGTCGACGAAAATATTGTAGGAGTTCTCCATGTAGTCTAGATGAAGGCCGCTTGTTGAGTATGCAATGGTGAACAATCTTCAATGCATTATCCTTCTTGCTAGCTTCTTTAATGGCTTCGAATGTTACCGGGAGTCCGGAAACTGCGTCTTTTAATACTTTGTGAACCTCAGCCTCGACATCTATGGGGGCTACAAGCACGTCCTCTTCTTGTTTTGCATGCGAATCAATCAACCTTGAGAGGGCATCTGCCTGTCCGAAGTCGGTTGTCGGTTGACACTTTATCTTGAAATCATAACCCAGCAGCGTGGTTGCCCATCGCTGTAGACGGTTTGCTATATATACAGGGATACCTTTTTTAGATCCAAAAACTGTCAGTAGCGGTTTATGGTCTGTAAGTAAGGTGAACTGTCTGCCAAACAGCATCTTGTGAAACTTTTTTAAAGCGAGTATGATGGAGAGAGCTTCTTTCTCAATCTGACTGTAGTTTCTTTCAGTCATTGTCAGCGAGGGTGATTGCCTTCTCAAACCCGTCAGGATAGGTATTTGAAAATTGCTGCTCTGATTCCATAATTTAACTCATCTGCCGCGACTATAATTGTAAGATCTGGGTCATAATGTGTAAGTAGAAGGTCTGATGATAGGAGCTGCTTTAGTTTTAGGAATGCTTCCTGGCATTCGGTTGACCAGAATTATTTGGTAACCTTTTTCAGTAAGCAATTAAGAGGAGCACGAAGGCAATGCAGATCTGGAAGAAATACGCCGTAATGACTAACCATTCCCAAGAAAGAACGTAAAGTTGATACATCCGTCGGTCGAGGCATGGATTTGGTAGCTTCAATGTTTTCAGGATCAGGTTTTCTTCCGTTTTTATCGATTATGAATCCCAAATAACGGACTTGCTCCATGTAGAAATCACATTTTTCAGCACGCAATCTAAACCCATAATCTGCTATGCGTCTGAGAACCGTGTTCACTTTATTCTCTAAGTCAGCATAGTCTGTACCCATGATCATTATGTCATCGAGATAGGCCGCAGTACCAGGAATATCTTGTAACATAGTATCCTTAACTTGTTGGAAGATTGAAGGGGTAGTTTTTACTCCAAAAGGAAGTCTGTTATATCGGGACAACCCTTTATGAGTGTTTAGTGCCAAGTAATGCCTACATTCTTCCGCTACTGGAATCTGTAGATAAGCTTCTGACAGGTCTAATTTTGCAAAATAGTTACCCCCATTCAGTTTCGCAAATAAATCTTCTGGTACCGGCAAAGCGTATTGATGGGCTTCAAGTGCTTAGTTTAATCCAGTCGAATAATCTGCGCATAGCCGGATACTTCCGTTTGGCTTTTTGACAATTACTATTGGCGCTGCCCAATCGGAAAAGTTTACTGGTTCTATCATTACACTTCTTTGCAGACGCTCTAATTCTTGTTCAACAATAGGCAACGCTGAATAGGGTACAGGACGTTTTGGTCTGAAGACGGAAGCGACTCCCGGTTTAAGAATCAGTACTGCTTTTGCCTTTTTGCGATCCCCCAATTCTTCCGTAAACACTTGACTATGTCTTTCTAACACAACATTCTTTAGATCCTTCTCAACTGGTTTACTGGTTCTCACAGCGCTGCATATGTGGTTAATGGAGTGATTTGTTAGTTGTAGTGTTTCTAATAGGTCTAGACCCAGCAAATCTAGTCCTGGGTTCTCTAAGAGATATAGTGTTGCCTTCGTCTTAGCGTTTCCTTTCGAAACTGTACAACAAACCTCTCCAACAATGTTCGATTTTCTTCCAGAAGCACTATAAACTAACTGGGTTGTCGGTAGCACCTGTGGTTTTCCGATAAGATTCCAGGTTCTAGTCTCAGTGTGAGCATCAATACAGTGATGCAGATACAATCAAAAGACAAGTTTCAAACAGGATAGAAAAACAAGTTTTCAGAACTGCTGTCAGCCAATATTCAACCTTTGTAAAAATTATGCTATATAGTTATTGATATGATAGAATAAAAAGTGAATAATCTGATAATCTATATTTTCTGGTAATTTTACGTCATGGATTGACTTTTGTTAGAAGTTGACCACTAAAAGCAAGTAGGACTGGATATATATTATGTCTTATTGAATAAGAATCCACAGCAGTGCGCAACCACAAGCATGACCTTCAAACCTTGTGTATAGGTCTAAACATTCATACTATTGAACTCGATTTATTCGATCGTTTTCACATTTCTAACTTCAATCAATTCGCAATATTTTATCATCATTATCTATTTCAACCAGTGGTATTTACCTCACATCCAACTTGGATAAACTCTTAATCGGTCTCACTAGAATTCCGAAAATCTCTTTTTAAAACTAGTCATTAGTAGATAAACATTTAGTGAAGAGAGTGGTGAAGATATTTGAATTTTGCCATGTTATATCACTTTTTTTATTACAGTAATATCTTTACTAATTGCATAAACGTTTATTCAGAACTGAAAACCAGTAACTAATTGGTACTATTGATAAATAAGTTCAATTAAACAATTACTAATAATTATAAATATACATCTTTATCATTTATTGACTGATCGAATGGGAACTAATTAACTTTTTATTCACATTTGAATGGTTGAGTAATTTCGATAGGTTACAGATAAAGACAGAAAAACACGATTTCGATTCTAATGTCAATTCAGCAAATTAACTTTCACTGATTCAGTTAGGAATATTGTGAATAGAAATGCGAATTTTGGATGATTCTAAAAACTAATGGTGTTCAGATGGTGGTAGGAGGTAGTCGACAGGAAACCCTGGACTCGGGTTTCGTGCTACTTGGCACTCATGAGCAAGGTGTACCAGTAATCTTAATCTAATCTCACAATAATGCCCGCAGTGTCGAGTCACTTAGGCTGGTGGCCACATTGCAACATGGTCGATAGCATTTGATCTGCACTAATAAGGACTAGACATGCATGACATTGATCACCACTTAGTGATCAATCAATTGTGACTAATGGTGTTCTTTTTTCATTAGATTAATTCCTTAATTTCACAGATTTTTTAAAATTATTGTTATATTTTCATTTAAACAAAAATTATGATAAAAGTGAAGTAGTGGTTCAGTGATTAAGGAGTTCAAATAGATTAGTCACTAGGTCGTAGATTCAAACCATGCTCCATATACTTCGGGATTTGAGCAATCGGGTAATATTATTAGCCCTTAAAAATAGATTGTAGCTGGAGTTGTAAAATGGTGGTTGGAAGTAGTCGACAGAAAACTGTGGACCTAGGCTTCATGCTATTTGCAAGTTGTATCTGTAATCTTGAGGAAACTGATAAAAGCTGACGGATTCGGCCACATACCACACAGCTTCACAGTCAAAGACAATAGATCTGAACTGTCCAAGCTGTGACTAACCCCATGTAGGACTTAGATGAATTTACAATTTATTGATCACTAAGTACGCGAACCTATATTTGGTGAATGAAGTTAGTAAATAAATATATGATAGGAGTTATATTTAGCCAATAGAAATACTTACCAACACCAGCTTCTTTAGTAACAATAGTAAACTCAGCTAATTGAGAAGTTATTCCATGACTAAGACCAGGACCATATGCAGTAATTCGACCAGTACCAGTAATATCCACATAAAATTTATATGGACTACCTTGTAATGGCATAGAGATTGTACTATCTGGTGAACCAGATTTTACCGGTGAATGAACATTTATACGTAATTCATGCATTCCATGTTCAACAGGATCATATGTTATAGTGATTGTTTCATCATCATTAATTTTAACTGGAACTTGTTGTTGCAAACCTGATGGACGTAATACAATGGCTGAAATGAATAACAATAAAGAATAGTTGAGAAAAGAATTATAGTGAATTAAAACTAATCTTAAACGGATATGAGATAACGACGTCTTAGTAGAAACAGAACCAAATAGTGGTTTTTTCTAAAGGAAAATTTTGATTATTGATATTTGGGATTGTAACTTGTTAGGCATCATACATGTTGAGCAAATTAGTAGCCATTTGGATTCCATTAGATCAGTGAACAATGGATTATTCGTTTTAAGTGAAAGGTATTGGATTTGAATCTCATTGTGAATATCAACGCACTAGAATGAAAGTACATCTAGCTGACGAGTTGTAAATAAGACTAATAGTACAATCTGGATTTTATTGTTAGCCAACTATCAAAAATATTAAGAGTCAAATCAATTTACATTGAATTGTAATAGATATTTGAATCAAAGTACATGAGCTCATTGAGTTATTTATAATTATCTAGATATAACTTCTTTGGAAACGCCACTGTAGTGCATTTCAAATTGTCGAATAAGAAAAAAGAAAATGAAATCCCCAGTAAAAACTATGATCGTATATACACCATTTTACCTAATAAATGAACAGAAAAATTCTAGGTATACCGCATATAGTAAACATTGAAAAAGCAGATATAAACTAGTTTTGTTATGATTTGTTTGAACATTTTCACTACAGTTAGGTATGGAGTGTATAATTACTTACTTACTTACACCTATTACTCCCAATGGAGTATAGGTCATTGAGTGTATAATACAATAAATTCTATTTGTGAGATTTATCTAATCGGAATTTTTTCCACAAAATTATGAGAAATAAATCTGATCGTAAAAAGTTTTCATCTCAATAATTGTTTGAACATGTTCTAATGTACTATTCAAAGGTTATATTTAGTATATACATATGACTCATTTAGTGTAAAATACGTCGAAATTGTGGTATGTAAAAACATCTATATACATATATCTTCTTTTAAATGAAATGGGTGAGACTATAATTCATAAACGACCTTGAGAGGGTCTACTTAATAACTAGGACCAAATGAAAATTATAAACTTGTGTAAGAAATTAGAATTACAATTTACGGTTGATTGGCAAGGTTAGGAATTAAATTTGGAGTTTTCATTCACGAACTGACACCAGCTAAAATGCCAAAACGATATTGTGCTAAATGGATGAATGAATTTCGCACCACAATCTAAGATCTGTTATCTTTTACCTGACTGGTTTGTCCATAAATTATAGTCTCATCATTAAATGATTGTATGCACGGTTGTTTTATTTGCTTAGGGTTAAATTAGTCATCATGGTTAACATGAGATTAAAACATACATTGAACTTATTAGAATAGGTAATAATTGAAAAATCGTTAAATACTTTATAGTGCATACAGGTATTAGGAGAACAGATTGACTGGAAATGGATAAATGTGTCATTTTAATATGGGGTATAAATAGGTTCTGTTGCAGGAAATGTTGTTTTTACCATTTATTAATCAATAATTGTAATTCATTGTGCACCATTATGTTTATGCAGATTGTTTGTATGAGTTCATCATATAAGTAGAGTTTTATTTGTCAGCCATTATTTAAAACAATATTTCATCATTCGATATACATATGCAAAATTTAGCATGTCTAACATGCTTAACGATGTTCCATGTTCTACGAATTTTGTCAATAAAAGAATTAGGTTTTTGGTTTATCAAAACATTCAACAGGAACTATAAAAACAATACCTTCAATGTTTGCTTTATTTCGAGGAGCTGGTAGACGAAATACAACAGGTCGGTACATATTTGAATGTGACTGAAGAAAAAAAATACAATCAAAAATAATACAACCAAATAATATTTAGGATAGAAGTTAAAGTAAATTCTATGTTCACATTGCTTAACTTGATTGAGCAGAGTGGCGCTTAACTATATTACTGATATTGTATTTCTACTCCAACACACACGCACATACGCATGTATTCTTTCTCTCTTTGTGTTGTTGACAAATTTATCAGCACGAGCTTCAAAGCAAACAACGATATATTTTATAGTATGCAACGAAGATAATGATATTTTTGAAAATAATGTCAGTTTCATCATCTTAGATAATAAAAAAAATCTAGGTATTTAAAATCACAAATATGAAAAGCTTCAACTACAAAAAATATATTAACTTCAAAGGTGATCCAGTTGAATCGTACCAGTCAGTCAACGTAGGATTTGACATATATGGATAGATTCGAGTTGCCACACTAAATCATCAAGGTAAGATGAAATAATCACAACAAATATCAAAATAGAAGTTGTAACAATATCAGTTGCAGTAGACAATATCAAGTATAGATAATCTGATTTGAAAAGTAAGGATGAATTTGTGGAACAATAGTCCGAAATAATTTGAAATGTCAAAATCTAAAGAAGGACATCTGTGAAACTGTGATCATCCAACGTCCTCAACCATTTAGTTACGATAATTTTGCCGACCCTAACAAGGCAGTTTTCATCTATCTACCTATATGACTCAGTCCAACAGTACCTGATTTCATAAAATGATGCTACACATTGATTCGAACGCTTCTAGAGTTCCAAACGACTTATACATCAGTAAATACCACGAATTGAGCTAGACAGTGGTTAGTAGATATACTTCCACATGAACCGATCCACCTTCTTCACTTAGTACTTTGCATTTAACCTCAGAACGGCTCATTAAGTAGTCAAAGTAGTTATGAAGAATGATTCAAATAAGGTATCAACACAGTTATTACATTTTTTTCTTTAAAAAAATTTGTTTAATGTTTACTGGATTATTAAACAAAAACAAAACTCATTGGTGTTTAATTAAATCAGTTACAAATGCATAAATAATTCATGTTTAATGTGGTCACTTAAGGGCAGATTTTGTAACGAAAAAAAGGGGAAAACGACCAATTTGGTGAGAAGCAATACATAAAACTAATAGAAGAAAAAAGTTAATTATAATAAAATTATCATGAATTAATCATGCAACCCCTTATAGTGTGAGGACAATAATCCACTTACATTTTCATCTACAATATCTTCAGGAGAGACTACCTAAAGGCATGAGGAAATAAAATTCACGAAAACTGTCAGTTATAATAATAATAATAGCAGATAAAATATGAGGAAGATGAGTTATGACAATAACTTTAAACAGTAATCGATAAAGGCTAGTAGTGGAATCCAGGACACGCACTTCGTCCTATTCCAGTCAGTCAGAGTGCTGTTAGAGGTATGAGGACGGTTATCACTTCCCGGTTGCCCACACCGTGGAAGGGTTCTGCTGGAGGTACCTGAAAAGGAAATTCGATTGAAGGTTGTCTAGTGACCTGAGGGCGCGACCGCAGTGCCCAAGGGACAACTGCCTGAGGTCCGTCATACACGACTATTTATGAGTAATTTTTGTGTTAGCTCCGTACTTGTTGAGACCTTACCGCCGGAGACGGATATCGGTGTGATAAGGCGAGGTGTGCATTTTTAGGGTCGACCTTTTCTAACCCCACCCCTCCTTTTGGGAAGGCAGCATCGCTGTCATGCTGGTTGTCTGAAGGAAACACCTTACTGCTGTCACACCTCTGTACAGTCAGCAGTACGACTTCGCCTTCGGACCTTGGTTTTGTTGCTTTTAGTCTTACCGCTCTTCAACCGACCTCTCTGGCATGGTAGGACCTTGAGGAACGGTTGTTCCATCCAGTATAGCTCAGTTGCTTCATCACGATAGGCAAGCCCAACCACTACGTCAAGATAGAAACAACGGTCGTGCTATTTGGGACTATTCAACTAGGTGTACCTGAACATTCTAAATTCCATTGCTAGCCAACATCTATCTGTGCTTAAAATTTCTCGGGACTTAGCGGTATGTTCGTATGTCCATTTCAATAATACTGTGTACGTTATAATTCATAATTCTTTTAGACAAATTCACTCAGAAAGAGTAGCTTATCATTTACTAATCTAAGCCATAGAAATTCTCAACTATGCTCAGTTATATATTAGTTTACATCGGAATACCAAAGTCTACAAATTCGTGTATAAATGGTCCTTTTGTTGATAAACATAAAACAGTAGCTACTTTCGACTCTGGTCAAATATTCATAAAGCACAAAGTGGACTTCTATTTTGTACCATCAAGATCGTACAAACCTGAACCACATCAATAACAATATTGATGTTATCTCGGCAATTTACAGTCACAATCTACAGTTGTTTATTTGCTGTAAAACAAACAACCACTTACTTTCTGAACAAATTCACCATTAGGAATCAGTTGACCACCATAACGCAATTCCACATTTAATTCACTTAATTGTGTTGGTGTATAATACACACATGTAGTACCGTCACCATTTTGTTCTGTTTCAACCGGGAGAAGAGTAGCCGTAGATGAAGATTGTTTAATTGGATGCTGAATAACTTGACAAGTCAAACGACCTTTACCACCCAATGAAGTATCCACTTTAATGACATTTTCTTTACCAACTGGTATAACTTTCTTTATACCACCTGAAAATTATTTCAATAAAAATGTATTAATTAAGTAGATGATACTTAATGGTGTAATTGACTGAAGCTAACAACAACCGAAAAAATAAAAAGTGGTTAAAATAAGTTTTACTTACTTTTAATTTCACATAAATCAGCTCGACCGGTAGCTACACTGTGAACAGTGAATGGACTATCAACCACTTCAGAATCAGCAAACATAACGTGAATATTATGGGGTCCAATTAAATATGGTTCATAAGTACAAGATAATAATCCCGTATCACTAACATCACCAGAGGCTAAACTTGTTACAGATGGAACTACTCCATTAGTAGCAACAGATTCACTATCTACAGGCACTGATACAACTCGAACTGGGACAGATTGTCCTTTAGGATCCTATAAAATACAAAAATAGTGTTTTGTTTAAAAATAACCGCGAGAAAAGAGAAAGAAAGAAATCACTGCAAATCTGGCAATCACATTCAAAGCACGAATAAGAGAATATAATGAATAACATACATGCTATTTTTGAAAAGAACCTATCTATCTGCACAGTCACACAACTTTTTTAAATAAAGCGGATTCAACCATTGTAACAATAATTACTGTACTGTTTAATTTTCTAACAAAATAATGGTTTAGCTAATATTTAATGATAATAATAATAATGCCCATCTAACGATACTCAAATGATTTATATTCCGAAAATAACTACAGAATGCGCGCCAGTTCACAGGGATTGGTAAGTAAAGCTACAAATACACGTTTTTTCCAAACGTGTTAATCACTAAGTGGTAATGTTATGTTTGTCAACTCCTTAGTGCTGGTAGAATTTTATCTATTCAAGAAAATAAATTAGAGGTAGTGCCTTAGATATAACATTGAGTAAAATTGGTTACAATTCCACGGGGTGCATTAGTTCCTACAAGAGTCCCACAATAGGACGAAACGGCCATCCAGTGCTTCCAGGTTTTCCGTGTAGGTCTAGCTTCAATTGACGCATGATCTCAACCATTGAAATTACTATAATCTTCATAAAACCCCTTCAGATGACAATGAATTAAGTAAAACAACTTCATAATAAAAAATAAAGTATATATGAATTCTCTTACAGTAATTCCTAAAGTTAAATCTCCCATACCAGCTTCACGAGCATCAACTGTAAAAGTTGCCGGTAGACTGGCAAGGACAGGACCTTTAATACCTGCACCTAGAACACGAACAAGATTCGGTTCAGATGCTTTTCTTATTTTCACAACATATGGTGAGCCAGGAACATGAACATCATCATATGTAACTTCAATTCGACAAGGACCATCTGTTTCAGGAGTATATGTAACCTTATAATAATGTTGTTGAGTTGAGTCTTTTTCTGATCCTCCACCAAAAGGTTGGACAATTGCAGGGCGTAATTCTCCACCAGGTTTAGGAGTATACATAACCTAAAAAAAAAACACAACACAAGAAAAGTTCACAGAAAGAAACAATAAAACGAAAAACTCGAAGTAAAATCATCATTGCATTTACTACCATGTATGAAATTTGCATGGTATCAAACGTCAATCACAATTGGAGACATGAAATCTAAGTTAATTAAAAATAGTTCTAGATTCGTTAAATAAACTTGGTGTGATACACATAATAGGGTTCCTGGAACTATGTATTGAACTCTAACACCTATGAATTATTTTAGTCGGAAAATTCGAAAAGTTTACTGATAAACGGGTAGCGAAAGTTAACAGTAACTATAAGAGGCAGTTTATTAGAGTTTATGAATTATTTGTTATTGAACATATTGAAATGATGTGCAGTCGGATGGAATGTGACTATAAATGAACGTCAGACGGTTTACTGATCATCCCCAAAAGTATTATCTGATGAGATCTATCATATAGAACAGTTCCAATTGTACAATAAATTATCAAATTAGATAGTAGATATGTATTTTAAAAAAAATAATAATAGCATACCTTTAGGCGTGCATCACCAGCATTTTTTGTATCCACAGTAAAGTAGGCTGGCCATCCAGCACGTAATAAACCAGATTCTAAACCGGAACCATAGCATCTAACTTGGTTAGGATCAACTTTTGGATTAACATTTACATTAAATGGACTTCCTGAATCAATTTTAGCATAAAAATAATAATGATCAGTAGTAAAATGAAGTATGAATTTTATTATTTGTAATAAATAAATTTCAACAAATTCAACATTTGTGAATTAAAGTTAAACATTAACACAATTGATTCACGGTTAAGTGGTCAACAGATTAAACATCAATGTGGGTTTGATCCCTAGTGGTAAGGTAGTGAATGCAGATTGTTGAGGAATCTTTAATACTAGTGCGAGACAGCAGTTCATTGGTTCCAGGTTTCCAATAGTGGTCTAACTAAGACCAGTTAACGATGCAAACTATGAAACTTGGGCATTTATCTACTTGATAAATGTAGATAAAGAATAATGAGATTAGAAAGTTAAGCAGATTCATGTAATAACTTAACACAGCTTCATCTTGATTACGTAACAACTAGGCAAACGATTTTATGTATGGTAAAGGAAGCGGTCAAAATATACTCTAAATAAAGTATGTGAACAATATTACTATCTGCACCCACAATTAAATTGACGAAATTACAAATTATTTTTCGAATACATGAAGATGGTTTGATTTTACTTAGGAACACTTCCTCAGCCCATGAAGTAATTGACTGTTAGATTGAGCCGTATTGATAGATTCAGACTACTTGGTTGAAGTCAGCAGTAATATGTAAATCAATGGTTTGAAACTTTAGGTGACACTTTTATAAGCAAAGATGGATAGTGGCTAGCAGTGGAATACAGTTTGACGCGCGTTTCGTCCTAGTTGGGACTCGTCAGCTGGGTGTACCTGCATCTCAGAGTTGATGTTCACTCTGAGACTCGAACCCAGTACAATTCGCTTCAAACGCCATCGCGTTATCCATTTAGTTACTGAGTCCTGATAGCCAACTGCTTGTGTAACACTTATAAAACCTTGTGAATTAGGGCAATATTGAGGCATACGCACAGTATGCACATATGCCAATAACAGACTGATCAATTGCAGTATTGAACCTCAATAGGAAGATACAAGTAAAACAATACCAAGTGAAGTTAAGGGGACAATGTTCAAAATAGGGCACATGAACTCCTTGTCATTTCTTAGATCTTGAGTTATTCCTTTATTTCATGATTTCTCATTCTTTTTACAATATACTAATTAAGACTGATGTCCGTGTGTTTTAATGATTGACTCATATTTAGGCATTTAATTTTTATCACTGTATTTTATGGACATATTTCCGATCCCATTGCTGTTAGAATAAAATGATTAAGTCATACTGTATTTGTAAAATATTGTAATTCGATTATTTTTGCCCTGTCGAAGTATTAAACAACTTATACTAAAACAGAATAGATATGTATTTATATGAAGACTAAAATATGTAAAATTAAAGCAAATCAGTGGGCTTAAATGGTTGGCTTCAGATGGGTATGTGCTTAAATTAAAGGTTCATGTAAATGATGATGTTATGCAATATACTAGTCAACTTGACAAAACTTCTAATTCTTAGACTTTACAACACCTGTATTATTCTATTGTGAATAAATCTTCAAGATAAATATTCAAGCAAGTTATACAACTTCTACCAATGAATAAATCAAATTAAAGAAAACAATTTAACGTAAAAAGCTTACCTGGAACATTTACATCATTGAATCGTACATATACAGCATAAGAACCATAAACAGATGGTGTATAGTAAACAGTACATGTACCATTACGATTATCTTGACAGTCGATCGGTGCTTCACTTGGACCTTCAACAGCTAAACCTAAACCACCTTGTCCAGCTCCAGTTAAATCTACCGTGAAACTTGTCTGGACACCAGGCTTTAAATGGGGTCCATTTTCTAAACCAGGACCATAGGCTTTTACACGATTCGGGTCACAACCAGGAACAACATTAATATGAAAGGGACTTCCTGGTACTGGTAAACCATCATAATTTACATGTATTTTATGTTGACCTGTTGGCCGATGCCAGTAGAAAACAAAACAAAAAATATGAAAAATTCAGGACTCATAAGTATTCACTTATATCAACTGGGTTAATAACATAATACTAAATTCATCCAATGTAACACGACTGATAGAAAAATGGAATATTAATAAATTAAAGACAATATACGACTCAGTAAGAGAACAGGTAGACAGGGCTAAAATGAAACTCTATAGCCAATAGATGAATGGAGCTAACTATTATGTTTAGTCCGGTCAGAAAAAAATATGTTTTCCGAAAATAGATAAAATAAAGCAAACTACACACGTAATTTCAATAACGAAAGTAAGCTACTGAATCATTGAATAAGAATTGAAAATAAATGATATAAGAGCATTTTCTTTCATTGCACCTTAACGTAAGACATAAATTTTTCTAACAAGCGATCGGTACCGTGCACAAGATTTTTCTTAATGCTACCATGACCTGAGAGTTTTCTAGGTTTTTTGTGTCCACCCTTCATGCTTGAATCACCTAAGTAAGCTAAAATAACACGTCAGTGTATAAAGTCGTATTTCTAAATACTAAATGCGCATACTTATAACTCAGGTGTATTTAAAGATAGATGGAATAATCGGGACACGGAAATGAAGTCGGTAACTGATTAGGCAACTAATTCAATTACCATCGCCTGCCAATGAATGTAACCTCGAGGTAAAGTATGAATGTCCTGTTTAGTTAATGCATCTAATGTCTAACGCGTTAGAATGGTTAAAGAAACGATAACCTAATGAAGATTTTTAAAAAAGTTGGTAAGAGACGGGATTGTGAATTCGAAATAGTTTGCTTAAAATGACAAATGAGTAATAGTCAACAGTGATGCGAATCGACTGCCGGGTTATGATTCGAAGGGTAAATTACTGAGACTTTCTTTAATGTTTAAAAGGATAAGTATCCACCCTAATCTATAAGAAACGATGAATTTAGTATTATGAATGCTTTGATGTTCGACAAAATTTAGATTTTCAATTTTCATACATCTAATAACGCTAAAAATGTACCATTTATGCAAATATATCAATAATTTTCTGTGAATGAAAGACAGATAGATTAATACTGCAGAATGATAACCACAAATATCTAGAAAGTAGTATGTCATATCACTTTCTAAACAAAATAAGACCCAATAAGACTATACTATCAAATAACTCACCTTCTTCCAATGGAGTATAATTACAAACATATGTTCCATCTTTATTGCTTAACACTTGACAGGCTGATTTTCCATTATCTGGACCAGTAAGAACAGCTGTGACAGTTCCTTCAGAGTGTGCATCAATAGCCGATGCATCCACAGTGAACTTGACGTAGGAAGCTTTATGAACTTCTATAAGTGTGGAAAAGGAAATCGGAAAGGAGAACAGACAAACAAATACATAGGTTAAGAAATTTCACGATTGATTTTTGAAAAACTATACAATATAAGGTAGGGGAAATTATTTACAAATTATTGACCATTACACTCTATCAGGCGATGTTTTGTACATGCAATGTTGGATTCCCCGAATCAATCAACTACCAAATATGCAAATCAGGGAGAGAGCACATGCAGTGATAGACAGTCCAATCAATAAACATAGGAACGCACCATTAGAAGAATCTACTCCAACTCCATAACAGATGACATCATCTACTGTTAAATTTGGTTTATCAGCAGGATATGCCTGAACAAAGAAAGGACTACCAGATATATGCGATTCATCATTATACACCACATTTATAGTATAACAACCTGGTAGTAATGGTGTATAGTTGACACCACATGTTCCATTCCCATTATCTATACAATGAATTTTTGCTTCACTTGGTCCAGCAATTGTTACACTTAATGGAGCAGGTGGAACGTTTTCACTATTAATAACAAAATCAGCTGGTTGATTAACAATGGCTTTATCAAGTCCTGAACCTCGAGCTGTAATTTGATAAGCGTGTTGTTCCGGCGTCGATTGAGGCCATTTACTTTTGGCTATTATTTCAGTCTATTTTTTTAAAATATAAAATGTGAAGGTAAGAAAAATGTTAGCGATTGACGAAGAGTAAAGCGTTGATCTACCATGCTAACTGATTGGTCACACAATTTGTCGTCATGCAATGTTAAGAGTTATTTATAAATGAAAATGACTTCTGACAAAGAATAGAAATGAAAGTGTATAATAAATGATAATTTTGAAGATACATGCGTCAATGCTTCCAATGATAGGCAGTCGATAACTACTGTAGAATTTGATATAGATTTGCATTTGTTTCCGTTGTCATACTGCTACAACACACCAAGACGAAAGTATGAAAACAAATTCCAAAGTAGTTTAAATAGTAACAGTATCAGTAGTAGTAGTAGTAATAGCAAAGAAAGGTTAAGCATACACATACAATATGACATGCATGCGTTCAAATGAAAAATAAATACGTATAAAGTTAAAAGATGAAAAGACACAAGCATCAAGACGAAAAAAATTAAAGAGTTCAGTAATATTTTCTGTAAATTACTTTCTCCTCTTCAGTTATAAATGGCCTGGGAGGATATTTTTGAACTGGTGACAGTGGAATACGGTTTGTAATATGTGCAGTATTATTACTATCATCATGATTAACCAAATGACAATCAGCACTAATTGATAACTCGCTTTCATTTAATGAAGTTGTTAAATGATTGTTACATTTCATATGTTTAAGTAATTCCATTTTATTGTTCTGTTCAAGCTCTTTCAAATAACCATTAGTAATAAAAATCCTATGAGTATTTTCATGAGAACAACTTGAGTATGCAAGATCATCACCATTAATAAAGGATTTCTTTGCATGAAGTTGATTATCTATTTTTTCTAAGATATCATCAAGTTTTCTATATGAATTGTCTTGTGTTGACGCATCAAAGCAGTTATTATTAATTTCCGTATAAGAAATATCATTATTATTATCATCATTAGGGATCCTCGTTTGGTGTAATTCTTCCTCATTAGGTTTACAACTGTACAAATCAATATCATTACTGTTTATAGGGTCAACAACAGTTGATTCTACATTATTCACCACATTAATTGTATTCATTTCATGGAGAATATTCTCATTATCTACCATAATTTGAACATTATAACAAGTACATGGTGTGTTATCATTAATTGTAAATGTACATAAAATACTATCAGTTGTTTCAACGTTTAGATTAACTGGTAAACAGATTTCAGGATTATCTACAGAATGAATTTTTACAATTAAATGATCTAATATATCTATAGCATCTTTAGTGTAAATCCTAAATTGATTAGTTGAATGTGAATTAATGGCTAAAAACAGAAAGATATATTAAATTATTTCGCAAATAATAAGTAGGTAATACGAGACAAATAAAACTTGATTATAAGTTACAGTAATAGATAAATACTGACGACAATTAAATATTCCTGATAGAATAGGTGTAAAGTAAATGAAGGGGTGTAACATTAATAGCTTCAAAGTGTTATAAACATTGAGCTAAGATTACTAGTAAGTTGAAAGCGATACAAGTAAGAGAAATGAACGATTATATTAGTTATAAAGTTTAATATATACAAACATTGTTTAGTTTTCTTAACACTTCAAAATAAATGACAACAGAGGTTGAATTACTTGCTAAAATAACTTCAAAAACAACAAATATAACATAAATTGAACTTTCAATTAGTAACCATTTTAATGCTATAAGTAAAATGTGAAAATAGAAAACATGTATCCTTCTGAAGTTTCTGCTACAGACGGTTTCTGCTAAAAACAATGTTAACTAAACAGTTAGGAAAACACCAACTGGGCCTCTGTTTTAGATAGAGGAGCAAATTGAAGATGTGGTGTGAGATGAGCACTATCATAATAGTAACGTAAAAATAACAAATCGGTTTACTTAGGAAGATGAAAATTAGTGTCGTGTTGAGGATTTACTACTGATAAAAAAGTATGGAGATGATCTGACTGCCTACAATAGTAGATGATTTCAAATGAACCATAAAAGATTCAAAATAAAATATTTTCGGATGACTAACTTCAATGAGCCAATTCAACGACACAAAGATAATACATTTTCCGAGAAAACTTCCCATACATGATATTTCATTTCTGTTATAGTTATAATATTTTATACCTAACCAAATCGTTTACACTTCATGCTTAATTTAACAACAATTTGGTTGGTAATCCTATTAACCTGAATATGTATACATATAAAATGACCAATTTCAATGCCAAATTCATACTCATAAATTGTTGACCATACAACAAACAATCCATAAACACCGATTACTGTTAGTATCTCACTTGATACATCATACGTATAAGTCTTGATATGTGTTTAGTAAATTAGTTGGAAAGACTTCTAAGCTGTTTGTGAATTCAAACTTTATAAAATAGTACAATTGAAGGACAACTGATTAAATAACTTCAATACAGTTTTGTTAACAAATCATAATATTTATTGTTTGCTTTTTATACCTCTAGAAAAAGAACAAGTACAAGTGTAACACTTAATACAGTTAGTTAGAGTAAAGCAGTCAAAAAAAGTACATTCAAAATAAGTGTTTACTGATCACCGATTAATAATCAATAACCTATTTGGCAATAGATGAACTGAACTATGTTTCATAAATGAATTTACAATATCAACTGTACATATTACATTATAAAGAGATCAAATCTCAACAATTTACAATGATGAATACTAATAAATATTCATTAAATTACATAAAATAATAAAATGTTACTTTTGATGTTATATCATTACTACTATTAATATCAAAAATCAATGAATATACTAATTACTTTCATTAAGAATTGACAACAAAAATTAAATGTTAGATCAGTGATAATTAAAAGTGTATAAATCTTAGCAAATATATATATATATATATATATATATATATATATATATATATATATATAGAGTTCAAATTTTTCTACAACTATTTCAGTTTATAGGATCATACTAGAGAGTAGTATAGTGTGAGATGTTACTTATATCGACAAATATAAGTAGTATGTAACATCAATCGGAAATAGAAAACATGGCAGCAGAAGACTAAGAAGATCACGTTGAAAAGAATAGAAAGAATCATATAGAATATGAAGGACAAATGATGGGAATTCGCAAATGAAGTTTTCAATGTATGATTCTCACATTTTACCAAGAAATTCTGTAATATTGTATTCAAGTGAAATTGGATGTTATCAGAATAAGGGTTTGTGGAGATTGCAATAATTTTAACGGTTGGATTCATGCGTCAATCTAAGTTAATCCACCATGAAACACCTAGAAGCATTGAAAGGCCGTTTCGTCTTCATATGGAACTCCTCAGTAGTGCGCATTCACGACCCCGCATATGGGACTCGAACACAGTGAAATACTATCTCACTGAAGACAATGGTGGTCGATGGTGCAATTTCGTAGAGTGGTTGGAGTTAGACACTAACACCGTTGGATGCCGGTTCAGCGACCTGTAGGTTAAACGTTCGCGCGTGGGACCGATAGGTCCTGTGTTTGAATCCCACGATCGGGATTGTAGATATGCACCGTTGAGGAGTCACATACTAAAACGAAACGGCCTTTCAGTGCTTCCAGGTTTTTCATAGTGATCTAGCTTAGATCGACTTATGAATTCAACTATTAAATTATTATAATATCCACAAAACCCCTTTCTGATAATTATGTTACTCTAAATAGAAGTAACTTACATATAGGTTATAAAATATTAAAAATACAAATATGTAATAAGTATTACTTATTAATTAAAATATAGAAATAAATAAATATATTAAACTTAATTAAAACTGACTTGTATCTAAATTTTGAACTTTGATTTTTGAAATATCAAAGCCACATGCAACGGGTACATGTATAGAGGATTTTGCAGGTGTACCACCTATTAAAGGTGTTATATGCACATTTGTACATAATGAAGTTGGTGTATAGTCAATACGAACAGTATTATCGGATTGTTTACTTAAACGTGTTGGAATCGTATGACCTTGATCATTTACAATATTAACAGAAACTGGATTGTTAGCCATTAGTTCAATTTCATTTTCACCGGAAAACACTTCTTGAGGATCAATGAAAAAATGAGCTGGTTTTTTTCTGGTAGCGCTTTGTAAACCTGGGCCCCATAATTTCATTTTATCTGGTTGAATTTCTGGAGCAACGGTTACCTAAATAAATAAAATACGCGATTAGTCGTTGCAAAATAACACATTAAAGATGTATTATTTCACAATAAAAATTATTCACCTACCCTGAATGGTGAACCTTTGAGAGATATACCGGCTATTGAAGCATATACGGTATGAGTCCCGGGAGACATAGGTTTGTACGTACAAACTACAGTGCCATCAGAACGTATACTAGATTGGACAGGCACTGGATTCCCTGAAGTATCATGGCAATCTACATGCAACAGAGAATCCTTCAGGGAATGTGAAAGTTGAGGAGGAACAGCATCCTGTAGACCATCAATATAAAATTCCGTAGAACGACCGATACTAAGATCCATTTTTTCAACTCCAGGACCATAAACACGCAACTAAAAAATATGAAACAAATTAAGGTATAAAATGCTTGTGGGAAATCAAGAAAAATAAGCTCATTGCTAATAAGACTATTCGTCTTCATTCTACAAATAGACTACTATATAGTTATTTAATTGTAAGCCAACTTAGTCGATCAATGATAGTTTCGACTAAGATTCTGTATGCTTTACTATGTATGAAATCTATACGAAACAGCAAACTAATACTGAACAAATTGTGCATCAAGACAGGATTAGTATTAATGCCTAAAAACAAAGGTTTTTTGGTTGTTCGGCAATTAGATGATCGATGTAAATATATAGCGACACATTGTTTACTTTTTATAGTCTGTAAGTAATATGGCACATATATGCATTAGTTCAAGTTACCACACAATAATAGGACAGGAAGAATAAATTATCAAGACAAATACCAGAGTAGTAAAAGTAGGAACAGTATCACTTGCAATAAAAAAATTAGGTGTAGAAGGTAAAAACCAACAAAGTATAAGTATAAACTCACTTGGTGTTGTTTGTTGTATCTTCCCATTGTTATTGTGGACTGCAGTTGATCAGTCTCTTATTAGTGTATGTGTATCCTGTACCGATTGCTTCGATAGTGCCTTAAGTCACGAGTTTTATAAGCAAAGATGGATAGTGTCTAGCAGTAGAATCCAGGACGCGTGTTTCTTCCTATTTGAGATTCGTCAGCTGAATGTATTTTCATCCCAGATTTGATGTTCTCTCCCGCACTCGAACACTAACTCTGGGATGCAGGTACATCCAGCTGACGAGTCCCATATAGGACGAAACGCGTGTCCTGGATTCTACTACTAGCCACTATCCATCTTTGCTAATGAAATTTAAGTATATTTCGGAACTTAATATTTAGGTTCCACCGCGACCTGTCCTTAACTATGTTTTCCAACTACTGGTTACGATAATGGAGAGGATCTCAACTAGGTAGTGTGTACCTACTTACATGACGTAATCCAGTTCAGTCTAGTCAGTGACTTTATGGACTGATGTCAGGTTTCTTCTTCTTCTTCAGTTGATGGTTCAACAAACGCAAATTATTATCATTATTACTATTATTATCATTATTATTAATAATAATAACTAATGAATATCGCTTGTTCCGATATCATATCTAGATGAGTAAACTACAGTATAGTAAACCTATCCTTCAGCAAAGAGACAGATATATCGCATATGCCACAAGTGTTATGTGATGACAAAGAACCCTTTTTGAAATAGGAAATAAGTCTCTACATTTCACATACCTTGTTAGGATGAATATCTTCAAGACAAGGAGTTATTATAGGCATATATGGTGATCCAGGGATATCTTCATCGAAACATGTAACATGAACTGCATATTCACCAGGTTGTGAAACCGTATAGGTTACTTGAGCAGAATCATCTCCATTGTCTTGACACAGTACTTTAGCCTCACTGGGCCCCTCAATCAAAAAACCTGAAGACATAATACTCAGATTATGAGACTGAAAATACAGTTTATAAATAATGATAATTACTACATTAGAGCAGCAAAATTATGTGTACGTGCTAAATAGAAAACCTTAATTTTGTTTTATCACCAGCTCTCAGATACACAGTGGAAAAAATGCGCTTCGGGAGTTACAGTTTTAAATGTCTGTTAAATGTTAAATCGTATATTATGCGAGATGGAGAATATCGTACACAAACTGGTATCTATTCATTACGAATGGTAGTTAAGTCATCAAAATAAAAGTGGATCCCCTATCCACTTAGTGAATAATGTTGGATGATAGAGAGGTGACTTGGTGGTCTAAGTACGTGAACTGTTATCTCTGGGTCTCAGGTTCGAACCTGGATGTCCTATCTTGGGTTTGAGCAGCTGAATATTATCACAAGCCATCACATTTAAAGTGCGGCCGAATGGTGAGTGTTCTAATATACACTTGATAAGTGAGTTGCATACATAGATGTTGGATTCGAGTTATAACTATGACAAAAGTCAAACAAATCCAGACTAATAACCTTCAACTTTTATGCACCTTTAAGGTTGTTTTGCACTTCACATCATAACAATGACGTCATGAGATTAAAAGTAACTAAAATGCAAATTATCACATGAATGGATGAGTGGTATGTGTGTGTGTGGAGTATATATATAGATCACAATAAAAAGGTTAACATAAAGAAGTTCAGTATTAGAGTGAGTAACATTCAAATAGAGACGAATTGTTTTACAGTTCAGAGACAAAAAATATACACAAAATATTTGTGACTAATGGTCATATCACTTGAGATTACCGAGATAAAATTCACAATTTACGGTAAAAATTCGATTTATATTATGTTTCCAGCATTTCTAAACTTCACTTTTATTTATCACATTAACAATGATGTATTAGAGATACCTTGAATATATGAATACACTAACTCATTTTTTATATGATTAGTCCAAAGGTAATTAGTCAAATAATTTGTGCTTTAATAAATAAAACTGCCTGTTAAGTATGATTTCAGATATTAAACATATATAAGTTAAGTACAATAATCCATAAGGCTGACAATATTTTTTGTTTTATTATATATATCATATATATAACTCGTTTACTAAGTGTAAGTTAACCTACTCGGTCTCTGTTACGGGGAGATGATACTATTCAAACAGAAGAAAAACGGAACGGTATTCAAACGTGTAGTTTGTGTTGGGTGGGAGAAAGGTACACACCGGCAACAATTGAAGATGGTCGCACATTATCGTTAACCGACTGAAGTTAGACTAGTACACCATTGAGTGTCAGTAAAGTGGACAAGAACTAAAGAGTTCGAACGTGAGATTGAAGATCCTGGGTTGAACTGCAGGATACGGGACCGTAGATGTCATTGATGAATGAGTCACGTATTACAATAAACAACCAGCCAGAACTTTGGCGTTTTCAGTGATTAACAGGTAATTCCCATTTAAACATTAAAAACACGAAGTTCAACGAAGGAATCTCTTTTCAATGAACTTATTATCAAGCTGTACAATCTTATATATATGAAAATAATTTGTTAAAGTACTAGTTCCGTGAAGAAATGTGAACAAAGAACAACCAAGATGATGTAATAGAAAGATTATATAAGAAAAAGAGGATTCAGCGAAGAAAATCTTCTTTTCGACGAAATCATTTACTTAAGCTGTACATACCAGAAAGATTATAATATAAGATTACGTAGTAACAATAGACTTAATAAGTTAGTAACCAATTATAACGTAAAGTTGGACCCAGTGGGGACTCCATTGTGATCTCAGCTCTTTGTCTATATACTTCATCGTTGAAACTGAAATGAACATTAAGGGTATAATGTAACAATATTTCTTTCAAATGGGTCCAATTTTAGCGGACTGCTTTATGATAAAACTGGGAAACGACCAACTTAGTTCGATGATTAATAGATTTCATTTGTCGTTTGTGACGATAATATTGAATTAGAAGATATCTTACACTCCTTCAACACATGCCACTCTTCCATAGACCTCACGTTAGAAACTGAGCGAGACCAGTCAGTCACATTTCTTGACGTGCATCTGATGAGAAGTAACGGTTCCTTAAAAAGATCCATAGTTGGAAAACAAACATGGAATGGCTAGCTGACCAACTTCTATAGCTGGGTTCATTTAACAAGAAAGAGAAATCTTATTCACTCTTTATGTTAACGAATACACCGGATATGTAGTACGGAATGAATTGACGAAGAACTCGCATTCCTCAGGGAAACCTTGACAAAAAAATGGCTACTCAGACCGTTTCATAAAGAAGAATATGAATAGAAGTAGTTGCGACAGGAAATCTAGTTGCTCCGTCCAAAATAAAAACCTCTGGAATTTAAAGAGGATCGAACATCTAATGTAATCAAAAATCTAACGATAGCGATTAAAACAACATGTAATGCGGAACAACTGAGAATAACCTTCACTAGTAGGAACTTATTTTCTATATCCATAAAAGATAAGCTTCCGCGTCTGGTCTTCTCGATGTGCATCTACCAGTTCACCTGCTCTTGTTGAGCAGGTACATTGGCCGTAGCCCGCGTCCGCTTCCAACTCGGATACGAGAACATGTCCTAATTTTGTTCTACAAGGGTAAGAGGAAAGCAGTTAGGAGTTCCATACTTGAACATCTAATCAACTGTAATCATTCTACTGACCCACAGTTAGATTTTAAGGTTGTATATGCGGTTCGTTCAAATCTACCCAGATTTCTTCGTATCCAACTCTTAAAAATGACCGAAGCTCTTACCATCCATGAGCTCAAGCTAGAACTATACATACAAAGAAAGTACGTCCTATCGTTAACTTGGCCTTAATTATTATTATTATTACTGCATTTCTCCCTTTACTTATGTCTCTTATTCTTATTATTTTATTCATAATTGCTTATGATATCATTTTATTTATTTTTTACACCTATATGACCTTTAACTACTGTAACAAAACATTTTAATCATCTTACTACATTAAGGTTATAATTGGTTACTAACTTATTAAGTCTATTGTTATTATTCGTGTTACGTAATCTAATATTGTAATCTCTCTATTACATCATCTTGGTTGTTTTTTGTTCACATTTCTTCACGGAACTAGTACTTTAACAAACTATTTTCATATATATACGATTGTACAGCTTGATAATAAGTTCATTGAAAAGAGATTCCTTCATTAAACTTCGTGTTTTTAATGTATTCAGTGATTGTCTGAGATTGGTCCATGATTTGAATGAAACAGTAAATAGTCAAAAGAGTAAAAAAAACAACACAACTAACCTAATCCAGCACCATCTCCATTGCACACGATTGTAAATAAATTGGGATGATTGACAACACCGCCTTCTAAACCTGGTCCAAAAGCGCGAATAGCAGATTTCTTATGTGGACCTACAACAATCTACAAACAGAGAAAAGCATAAACTTAATGTAAAATATTCGGGCAACAAAAAAAAAACAAACACAAATTATACATTTCGATAATGTAATAAGGAATTTATAAAAGGTACTAATTACAAATTATACAAATATTTTATAGTGTTTGACGCTCAGTTCAGTCAACGGAGGGAATGAGGCAACTAAATAATTGGATTTGACTAGCCGATAGATTTCAGTTAATTTCTTACAAAAAGTCAAATTCAGGCACCCTGAATATGTCATGAAATAAACGATTGGGGTAGAATACAACTTAACTGTAAAGTATGAAATAGTCATGACTTCAAAATATGTAAATCTGATGTATACCAAAAAAAGATGAGCTAATTATGCTAAGTAAGACCGAAAATAAGACTGTTTGTTTACAACAAAAATAAACGCAATACATAAAACACTGATTAGATTTTGCATACATAAAATACACTTTATGATTTTGGTTACCTAACAGTCTAATTGAATATCAGCTTGAATTTACATGAAAATGATGCATTAGTGACAGTAGTTGACACGGTGATAATATAAAGATAGAAAATTCCATACACAAATATATATCAACACTTTAAGGACTATATAACTAACAATGATATAGAATAAATTCAAGAGAACTTTGGAGTGATATACATAACATTTCATGACTTCTTAATTAACTGTGTTTTACATTTACCACAACGTCCTACATTTATAATTTCGAAAATAGCACTACTGTCGTGTGCACTAGTTATGCATACAGACATAAGTAGCGTGTAACAACAATTAGAAGTGGAAAGCTTACCAGAGGAAAGATGAAAAAATAGAAGAGGAAGAAAAATAAACAGCAGTCGGAATAATAACAGGATAGGAAGAATGATGAATTACGTAAAGGGAAATTGAGGGAAGATATACAAATGATGTATTTAATGTATGGTTTTCATATTTTACAAAGGCATATTGTGATTTTGCAGAAAACAAAAAATTGGTTTACCCAACCAATACTTCGTTCACTGCACTGCTAAAAGAATGACAATAACAAAATTCAAATTGTATTTCATTGATGTTACAAAGCAACGTACGATTGTTTTAATTCATGATTATAACAATAGGACAGTTATAACCTTGAAATTTAGATGATTCAGATAAATAATGAATCGATACATATTTCACTTCAACTCTCATTAATGTAACGTTAACTTCAAATCAATTCTGAGAATTTTACGGTATACTGCCAATTTAAAAACCAACTGGCGAAACCATGGATACTCTTGATCTGACATTTAAATTTTCATACATATATATACCTCTCCATTCTGTATTTTTGAACCATACTCTTAATGTTTAGTCCTCATCAGTATCATCGCTGCTACATTATTATGATTCCTTATGTTAATTTTATTTCACTGTGCTAATGCAGCATAGTAGCTTGGGCGAATGAAGATTTGTGTCAGAATCTATATTGATTAGACCTGGTATGAAAAAATATCAAAATATGGAGATACAGTTGTATAAAAACAGCCTGAAATCTCTCAGGTTGTAGTCATACTGATGATGTAACAATGAGATTATTAGATGCCAAAACATTCAATTTGGTTCAGTTAATGAATGATAACATATACGATTAATGTCTCGATTGATTTTTAACATTTCCTCTAACATCAAACATTACTGATAATTATCATTTCATATCTGACTTTTTAATATTTTAAACAATTGGAACTAATCAGAGATAGACTTTGGCTAACAGTGGAACCCAGAATACGCGTTTCGTCCTATTCGGGAATCGTCAGCTAAATATACCTGCATCTCAAAGTTGATGTTTACTCCGGCATTTGAACCCACTATCGTTCGCTTCAAACGCCATCGCGTTCGAGTCCCGGATTGAACATCAACTCTGGGATGCAGGTACGTTCAGCTGAGTCCCAAATAAGACGAAACGCGTGTCCTGGATTCCACTGTTAGCCATTATTCATGTTTGCTTAGAATCCTTGTGACTTAAGGCAATATTGGCGCAATCTGTATAGTATGCACATATACCAATAAATGACCGATCAATTGCAGTTTTAAACATCAATGTGACGATTCAAACAAGCAGTGCAAAATGAATTTAATCAGAGATAATTTTATAAAAAATGTTTTTATACACATTAACATTCTAGTCCATTAGACATTCAAAGAAGTGCAGACATTATAGCACACAAAACACTATCATTGATTAAAATATGTTCAGTCGAGTTTGTATTAAGACTTTCGTAACAGACAAAAGAACACATATGAACTTTTGTAATTTACAATGATACAATAGTAACATTTTGGATTTACAAAAAAACAGTATCGCTGAATTCAAGCTGAGAAAAAATAATATCAATAGCACACAATATGTAGAGAGGGAGTGAGACAGAGAGAAAGAGTAAAAAGTACATAATCAGAAACAAATAATTAATTTGTATTTTGTTATAACTACACACATAGCAACACAATACTGGAATGTATGAATCTGTATGTGTGGTCATGAGTAAGCTCGGTTTTTGTTTTGATACAGTTTCGAAAGTTGATACATAAATTTATTTCATTGAATTATTGTCTCGATATCAATCGGACGAAATTGAAAAACAGCTAAGAAATATACTATTATTAGATTGTATATTTTAAGCAGAGATGAATGTTGGATAGTAGTGGAACCCAGGACGCGCCTTATTTGGGACTGGTCAGCTGAATGTACCTCTGGGATGTAGGTACATCTAACTGACGGTTTCCGAATAGGACGAGATGCATTTTCTGGGTTCCATTGCTAGCCACTATCCATCTCTACCTATAACTATTAGAAACTTAATTAGACATATCTAGAAAATCTTCACAGCATATACATATGTTAAAAGAGACTGATCAATGGCAGTTCAAAACATCAATGGGAAGATTCAAACGACCAATACAAATGAGTTGTTTATTTGCTTATAAACATTACATTTTAAATGAATTAAATTTCTTTATGCAAGTCTATAGTTATGTGGATTAGAGCAATTTTACGACGATAATAGATGATTCCCATCAGAGGTATACTACTAGTAAATAGAGAAGTAACAAGAGAAAAGCAAATATGTGAGAAGTGTATTCCACTTTTTCAAATCTTTCATTAAAATAAGATGTATCAAACACATAATGATGAAATGCTTATTTTCAATCGTAGTAAATGAGAACTCAGGTGGGGAAAAGCAATTTATAGTTTTCTGCAAAATCACACTGCCTTCGTAAAGTATGAAAAACATACATTAAATGCATCATTTGTATATCTTCCTTCAATAGTCCATTACATACTTTATGATTCCTCTAATTCAGCCGTTATTCCTATTGCTCTGTTTGCCTTCATGTTTTTTTCAATTCAATCTTTTGCTGACAAGCATTCCATTTCCAGTTACTGTTATATCTGCCACCATAATTAGCATACACCACACAAAATTGATTTCTGTAAATAGTCAGGGGATTCGGTGATGGAGAGAATTACCAGTTTTTGGAACTGGATAAGTAAGTAATCCATCTTAATAGACTTTGGGTAATCAGTATGAACAGTGGACAGTCAAACCCGTACGGAGTATGAACCTATACATATACAATTTTATCAACGAGTTATTTCACATGACGGATCATGTCAGGTGTGAAACAAATATCATCAATGGTGATAGATGACAATAGCACGGTATTAAGAATTGACTGAATTTACAGTTATTAAGGGCTCTCCATAAGGCTTAAAGGCCCTTGGTTTGATTCCTAGTGTAGTCGTCTATGCATGCTTGCTACAGACGAATCTCATAGCAAGAGCAATCAGATATCCAATACAATCTGATTTTTAATGGTTACGTAACAAAATTTAGTCCGTGATGGGCAAATCCAAATTTAACAGTCTTCACAACACCTTATCGATGACGAATTTCAGTTTTTAAGATTTTTACTTAAACTGACAACTTGGGAAACGTGGTCATGTCGGATGTTATTAAGGTAACAGTCATTCATCCATTATATCACTAAAAAATCTAATAATTTTTTCGGCAATTCTGGGTGTTAAACATTAATTTCAACTGTGATTAATAAATTTGGCGACAGTATTTAAGTACGGTGAACTTGAAATGTTTAAACTCATGTGAAAAGACTGGCACTATTTCACCAGTATGGAGTCTGTCGACTTTATAACTACTCTTGAAGCGATTGTAAATCAGTGATAAATCCTGAGTTTAGATAGACGAAAATATGATACAAGAATGACTGACACCATATTTATTGGAATTAGAGAGAAACTATTTAGACGTTACTTTTCTTGGCGTAACAGGTTTAAAACACCGGCTTCAGCGACTTGGCTATATACTACGGATATCAACCCAGCGAATTCCACATCGTGTATTATTTGCTTACGTTGGGATTGATTGGAAAACACGAATATGGTTAGTTTATGACATAATGGTGTGGTATGAAAGGAAGCTGTACATAATAGACATCCATCGGCCCTTATCGACTTCCTGGTGAGAGTACTAGAGAAAGTCCAACTCATTGACTTGAGAAGTTACCAAGAATAGCTCAGAATAGAAGCCAGCGGCAGTTCTACTGTAATTTTCTCTTACTTTCTTCATAAAAGCGAGAAACATCAATAACTAGAATTTTTTCCAGTTGTACTTTTCTTAACTGAACTGTTCATCCGATGATTTATAACTCTCATGCACTAATTTTCAATGACTTATAGTTTTTTTCTGTTATGTCTATCTTCCTCTACGTACCTCTGCACAATTTCATTTTCCTATTATGTGAGGCAAATTTATTTTGTTATCCCTTTACAATAACAATTGTGTGGTTAAAGAGAAAAATTAATTTCTTCGTGGGGAATATAGAAAAAGCATATTTTTACTGACCAGGTGTAATACTTACAGTATAAGGACTATGTTGAATATGTCCATTGCCATATCGTACATTAAGTGTGTACTTCCCAGGTCGCTGTGGACTGTAGAAGCAATCCCATAAAAATTTATCAATCTGATGAATTTCCACGGGTTCACTTTGACCGTCTTTTGTTTATAGGAAAACAATTTAAAAAAAGAGAAAATTCAGGATGGAGAGCGATAAAATTGTGTAACATTTCTTTGTTTTATATTTGATTCTTATTATATCTAGAGCGTTTACTGTGAAAGGTAAGAGGACACTCAACCTGTAGCAACAATGAACTGAATCAAAATAAATTTATCACATTTTAAAACAAAGCAGATTTATCATAATGCTCAAAATGTTATCAATTCAATTAAGGATCAGAATAACTCCGTTACTACACATCTGATAGAAAACTATTGGCGGCCAATAGTTGAGGTTAGACATGAAGATCACTGAATGTTAGGTTAATAACCTGGTTTTGGACTCGATATTCGGTAGGATCACGGATGTGTACTGCTGAGAAGTCCGGTATTAGGATAAAACAATTTTTCAATGCTTTCTGGTTTCTAGTGATTATCTAAGATCGATAAATGATGTAAACCATAAAACTATCATCAATGCAACTGATTCCATTATATGGTCCCATAAATACTTCCTTGCATTACATATACACTCACATCAAACAGAAGCGTTTTTTCTTAGCAAGCATAAAACTACATACCTCTTTACATATTATTAAGAAAAATTGAAAACAATAAACATATGAAGCTAGTCACTAGTGAGCATTATCATGGAAGGGCGTGATAGTTATCCACCTCAGGAGACAGATGGTCGCGCAATATCGTGAATTGATTGGAGTGAAACAATAACACTACTATATGCCATCATATTGCTCTAGAGGTTAAGCATCTGCGCACGAAAATTAAGACCGTGGGCTCGATTGCCAGATACAGGGTAGTGAGTCTGTACTCCTGAGAAGCCCCACATTTGGACAAGACGGCCGTTTTGTGCTTTCAGGTTTCAGTGGTAGTCTAACTAAGGTCAATTCATGATTTAAAGTCTATGAAAACTCTTTAATCTTCACACTAATAATAATATGAAGCAGAAACATGTAGATAGAGCATATTCTGTTTCATATTTTACAGTAACAATATTTGCATTTTAACAATATGCGCACAATATTAACTATCTCGTGAACTATATTTGGGTTTTGTTTTATTTACAACATTCACCTAAACAAAACAAAAATCACATAATGTTTTTTTTTAAAAAAACAAGATTATAGATAGATGTTGGCTTACTATTTATTTATTTATATTAGGTTATAAGGGCAAAGTTAAGTCACATTGAAAATATGTGGAGTGACATATTTTATTGTAAATTGTCTCTGAAATCCGACCACGCACTTACTAGCTGCCTACTATTAATAACGTTTATAAAGAAATTACCAGTTTTGAAAAGTAAATTATATTTTGTGGACTGTAAACAAAGAATAATTGGACTATTAATTATTTGCCATTTGAGTATCGTATGTTTAAAGTGAAGTTCGATAAAATTATCTAAAGGTTGATATAAGGTTAACTACAAAGGTGGCGTAATGACTAAGGTAATCAACTTTCAACTAATAGGTTGCAAATTTGAGTTCCACAATACCTACTTTCGTTTGGGCAGCTGGGTGGTATTTTTACGCTTCATACATGAATGCTTCGTAAGACAGGTGATGAAATACAACATAAATGAAGTATAAGTGCTTCGAATAACACAATTATAATTAAAAGTAACCAGAAAATTTAGTGATAAAATTCAAAGTCAGTATCTCATATACCTGCACGAGTCATTGTAACTGAAAGTGGAGCTTGATCACCAGCTCGTTCAGTGTGAACAGAAAATTTCACTCGATCTTGTACACGTATACCACGAGCTTGTATACCTCTTCCAGTAGCATAAGCTAACTCAGGATGAACTTCTGAAATGTGAGAGAAATTAACATTTAATAAATTCTTTATTTATAAAAAAAAACAACAATAAAACCATGTAGATAGAACAGGCATCATGCATAGAAACATTAATTTCCAGTAAGATGCATGCACATATATAATATAATGTACATGCAAGTGGGCAGGCAGTTATTTTTGGGTCACCTTCAATTATTTCGTGTATAAATGATTCTTCTTTGACAGGATTATCAATCAACTGTTTCTTTTCATGTTTACCTTCAGATGAATTCATCGATAAAGAATCAGATGAGACATTTCCATTTTTTACTTTCATATTATCAAATGTTTCCACAAGAACAACATCAGGATTTTCATGAAAACCATTCTGTCTTGCAGTGTTGTTTATTCCCGGTACTTCACTATGCAAAGATTGCTTGGCACTTTGATTGAATGTTGAATTTTGTATAACTGCTGAAAGAGCAGCGATTGCTGCAGCTAATTCAAATTTTCAAACAAAGAAATGGGTAAATTATAAACTCCACTAGAAATAGTATTGTTTTAGGTTCAATTGAAGTTTATTAATCAAAATCTAAGTAAAACCGGATTTCAAGAACCATTCACAATCAGAAAATAGTACAATTTTAACGGTACGAATTTCCATAAACATGTAATTTTAACAACAAATGACAGCATATATATCAAATGAGATATACAGCATAAATATTATCATTTTGATGAAAAATCCGAAAGAAATGTTAACAACAAGAACAAAAACCAATATAATATTGACATTGAGGACCGATTTCGCCCAGATGCAATAATGAGTACTAGTCATTTGTAATTCGGAATTACAAATTCTAGTTGGGAAACGTAAATATGAGCAGATACAACGCTTAAAAACAACTTCATAGTATGAATGAATAGTGAAGTGCAAATATCAGTTTGATAAGAGAAGGATGAAGAAAAACGACCAAATAAAGTCAACCAATATGATTACTTACGAACAAATACAGTACATTATAAAGAGATGGATTCTGAATGACTTATAAGCATACATATGACATTAGGTGAGGAGAAATGTACCATATTCAACAATATCGCAACATAAAGTCTTTAAATTAAAAAAAACGATGGATTTTTCTATGTAAAATGAGGAAGGTAACATGCTATTGAAACTTACCTTTACCAGACTCTCCTGAATAAAACAATAACTATGTAATGATTGAATTAAGCTTCTAAATGATAACCAATATAGATGAACAAAATATTCACTTTTAATATAGTAAACAACACAATGAGAAACGTACTAGGAGCTATTTCAACTTGAAACGGTGAGTTAGGTATCTGCTTCTCCGCAAACTGTACAAATACTTGATGGACACCAACTTCTTTTGGTGTATATTCAACAATAAAACATGCATCACCACCGGGGCAAGTAATACGTGGTTTGACAGTATCAGTTCTGCCGTGTGGATCAACAATGTAACAGTCTACTATTCCATTTCCAGCATCTAAAAAAGTAAAGTTGTGTAACTATGAAAATAGTAAAAACATGTAGTTGGTCCATCGTATGTAATAAATTACTTTGTTTTTTTACAGACAAATATTTTTGATTAGTAAATATGAGCACATATGTAATAGGTAAAAGTTGTTAATATCACGTGATTGGAACTTTATATTTCATAATTAACTGAACCAACTTGTAAAGACAGAAATATTAGTTATTGACAAATATATTTGACGATATCAGTAGAGAATTTCGGAATTAAGTACTACAGTGCATCCAAGAGACGATAAAATAGCAAACACGCTGAGACGAGCAAATACCTGGATTTGAATGTTCATTCACATTTTGAAATGCTAAAGCTTGTCCATTAGTAATTGTAATTTGTTTGATTTTGGCAACATACGCGTAAAAGTATCAATATTGTTATATCCCGGTGAAAATAATGAATGGTAACTGTTGGGATCTATTTCTGGACTATTACAATACGTATATTTTTATCGCACAAATGTTAAGTAATTAAACTATTCATATTCGTGTCTCTCTTATCATGAGCTTTGTTTTGAGCTATGAACTGTTATTATATGATTTACCATTCTTGATTTATACCCAGTCTATCAATTACTACCTCCCACATTCACAGTCGCTCTTGGCTAAATCTTGTACAAATGTTGTTTCCTATTTTATGGTACGATGTGATCTGTTTGATTGGTATACAAACCCAGTATGTTTCACATAAATGATTGATATCGCAGAGGCTGAGATTGGTGTTCTGGACTTAACAGGCTGGGCCAGGCAGAAGCAGGACCGATAAGGACTCTAGACTACTCAAACAGGTTTTATGCAACATTGGTCCGATCAGTAATTCACTGTTCTCTAATTAGCTGTATCATTACGTTATACATTAATAGGGACTCAGGACACAAGTTATAACAATATGGAGAGGGATTAGATTGGCTGATGAGACTTTGAATGCTTGCCAAACGGCAAGTGTTGCAAAAAGTAGTAACCACATAGTTTAACGTGTAGTGTAAGATGAAATATGAGGTTAGTGAGATAGATCGTAGTAATCAGATTAAAACTCACAGCATTAATACAAAGTCACTAGTAGAAATTTAGTAATATGGATTATAAGTTGTCAAATGACCGATGTAAATGATTGCGAATGGCCAAAAATCACACAACAACGATTTTGGACCAACATAAAACTGAGTTAAAGATAACACTATTACAATCAACTACCTTAATCAATATTTCAGGGTTTTTTTTCGAATATAAGTACTGTGCACTGAATGATTGCATTTTTGAAGCGTTTAAAACGGTGGAAAGGTACTACACGCAAGTTATTTAGTATTTTCAAACAAGTTTGATTCTTAATGGTTAAGTGGAGTGCAGTTCAACCCTCTTTTTTTTCAAATAGACGAATGATTTAATAATGGTATAAAGTTTACGTTAGCATTTATTAGCATATTTAATTTATTCAAAAATTAAAAATTCGCATCATTGATTTTTCAAAGAGTACAACACTCCAGTGAACAGTATCATTTATAGTATATAGGATGTAATAATTCATTAAAAATACAAACTTACTATGGGTATGTACATTAAAATGAGTACGTCGACCAACACAATTGAGTTCTGAATTTTGTAGTCCTGGACCGCTTACAGTTACTTTACTTGGGTCTACAAATATTCCCTTGACATTAACACGAAAAGGTGAATTAGGTATCTCATGTCCACCATACTTTATGACTATACGATATTCACCTTCTAAACGTGGTTCATATACACATGAGTAAGTTTGATTTGTTTCATTGTCGAAAATCACTTCACACTAAAACAAAATTAAAATAGAGATTATTCCATCTAAAAAATCTTTATTTCTTATTCTGTAGAGTTCGAGCTGAATTCGCATGAATCTTTAAGTTTTGTTTACACTCCACACTTGTTTAAACTATTAAGCATTGAAGAAAAATAGCTTTTAAAAGCTTTTAATGATGACTCATAGCTACCCACATTTTGTAACGCCCACTGAAATTTCACCGAACTTTTAGTTAAAATTAGTATTACATATTTAGAAAAAGGAGAACGAAATACTTAACCTACTCATATTGTGAAATGTTGCATGTCATGAATAAATTGCAACGGATTTCAAGAATGAATAAAAGTTATCTTAATTAGTTTCGTTACGAAATACCAACAAACTATATGCAAAAAGTATTGATTGTAGAGGAACAAAATAAATATTTTCTTGGATTATTGGCAAAACTATGACATTTATCTATCATCAACTAATCATCAGATTTCTTAAACATAATAACAGTGAAAAAGTATGGTGTAAAACATAAAAACTACTAATACTTACCGTTTCTCTGACACCTCTGCAATTGATTACAAGTACTTCTAACTGACCTCTGCCAGCATTAGCGGTTTCTACATAGAATTTAGCCGGTATACCAATTCTATTTTCATTTGATTCCAAGCCTAACAGTGACAAATATATAGAAAAATGTCCAAGATAAAAAGAATTTGAGTTGAAATGGAATAAGAAGGGTAGGGAAACACGGCTGTTTGTTTTAGAGACGGTTATAAAAGCAATGTTGAAGTAATCGATGGTTGGAGACACCGTTTATACCAAAATTCCAACCAAAATTGGTAACAAAAGTTTTTGTTCTGAAGTTCTAAATTATCAAACTTTTAATTGCCATCCGATTCGACAATCTAGTTAATACAATACATGGAGACTCACAAATAGTTAAACTAGTTACGGCTTGCTAAAGGCAACGATACTTAGAATCAGGTGACAATGTGTTGTTGATTAAAACTTCTTAGGTGTGAATGTTGACTTGACAGCTAAATTATATGGTCAATAAAAACCGCTACAGAGAATTACTTTATGCGCTAGTTTTGTCATTATCAAATATTTACAAATTATGGCGTTAACAGTGGTTTTTATATCACTCTGATGCAATAGTATTATTTGATACTATGTGCAAAATAAAACAAGGTACATTCTATAGTGTCTTAGGTAGCATAACTTGCCACGCTTGATTTCCCATATAGTTGATCACAAGTATTGAGAAAACACAACGGAAACAGTTCATCACACCTTTCTGCTGCGTTTTGATAAACACTATGGCCTATAGTAGACATTGAGTGAAGTCAGAAAATCCTCCAGAAAGCGTTGTTGCCAAAAAATATACGGTATATAATTGAGATTTATCCTCTATGGAAGTCAATTATTGAAAGCCAAACCAATTTGTGCTTTGGGTCTGTGCTTATAAAAATTGGAGACAGCTTGAATTAATATTGCTTGTTTAAACTACAATATGTTTATGAATACGCTGTCAAACAAAGACATTTGGTGACTTCTGTTTAGCTGACTTGGGATATCTGATTTACTATAAAAGCGAATCGAATGGGAGGATTAAAAAACTAGATACTTATGAGTTGCGTATAACTCGTGCAACAACATCACTAACGATAACTCGTAGTTTAATGAAGTTTGGAATTAGTAAGATACAAAAAGATGAACCAAGCTTACCTGGACCATATGCGCGTACTTTCGAAGGATTTAGTTTAGCTCGCAGTGGTGCACCCTCTTTTAAACAAGCATTGGGAAACTGGCTAATATAAGTCATCATCGACTTTTCATCAACGTTGGGATCAATCATTTCTTCTGGCCGAATTAACTGGGGGATGGATAACCAGTCATCTGCAGCTGTCATAGCTTCCGTGGCATTACGCAAAGGATTTTGCTGATCCCAGTGAGTCCAATCCGGACAAAGTCCAGGAGCACAAGCATCAACGAGAGCTCCAATAGCTATACCATCATTCCAATCTGTAGTGAAATTTCGAATTGGGATTATTGGTAATTTTTGTTTGACCCAACTGAGCAAACGCTGTTTAGGACCTTGAGTTTGGTTTCTATCATCCTGTTAACAAATAAAAGGTAATTTATTGGAATACGGTTTGAAATACACTGGATCAGAATCAAAACATGAAAAACCCGTCATTACTGCCTGAATACTGACAACTTGTCTCCACCCAACTGAGATTTAAAAATCTGAATTTAATAGCTGGGTTAGGATACAGAATAATGACACTTAAATAACCAAACAACATACTTAACTTTCGAAAAATTATCATAGTAGACAGTTAGACCACAGGTATCCAAACAATTAGGGCTACACCATAGATCATACGGTCGATTTAACAAATTGCCACTGAAGACAAAGCAAACAGCAAACCAAGACTCATTTGATCGACATCGATTACAGTGGTTAGCGACGGAAAAATTAGGGTTGTTTTTGGTCTCTGCCAATCAAAAACTTTCCCCTTTACAAGGCTACTACATCGCATCTTAAGCTACTGAGTGATGCAGCCGAACATTGGATCGTTCTACAAGTCAATATTCTGTTAGACGTTAGACAAAATAAGAAGTAACGAAACGTGGTTTGGTCATAATCAGATTACAGACATAAAGATTTGTGAAGAATTCATACAACAATAGGTATTTCGTTATGCCGAAAACTCAAGATTAAAATCATTTACCACTTACTTGGAGAACGTTCTCTTCATCTGCAATTAGAGGTACAGATATAGAGTAATGTAAAATGAGGGTCCAGATTAAACCAAGTATGAGCTTTAGGTTGCAATCAACAATATGGCTGCTGTCTGAAATACTGGTTAAAAGGTTTATTTCCATAGATACCTATACTGATGAGACGCAAGCCTTCAGTTTCTTCCAGATATCTTAAAACAGTAGTTACATTTTCAAGCTTTTGAGTTCTGAACGTTGGTCTTTTGTTGATGTGTCGAAACTTATGTCCAGATAAGACTTCAACAAGAGCAACTAGACGAAGGCCGTCACTCAAATCAGTCTCTAAATCTTCAATAATGAAATCAGTTTTTTTTAGATGCTCATTCGCCCAGCGCGTGAAAGTGTTTTTCTGAAATATTTTCCATTGTGCATCCTCAGCTAATTCCTTTTCAGCCATTCGAGTTTCTTCATCAGATTCAACAAGACCGCAATCTCTATCATTGATATCCTCATCGTGATCCATTATTCTGATTGGTCAAACTAGCGGCAGCTCCAAGACAATTAACCTATGTAAAGCTGTATTAGAAACGATTAAACAAAACCAAGAATGAATTACAAATACACGCGTTTTATGATAAATTCACATGATTTTACTTATATTTTGCATCATTCTACTTTTTTAATCTGCATTAAGTAAAACTGACGGTCAAAACTGAAAGTTTAGATCACCGAGTTAATGAAGAACGATCTACATGGGTCGAAATAAGGAATGTAGATTAAAGTGGGGTTATTAACACATCTAAATTAAGAGTTATGGTTCTTACACCCTAGTATCCAGTTTGTGCTTTTTCACTGTGGATAGAAAAAGTATGTAGCTGTCCCATTGTTCACGATATATATATAAATGGCAACATCTTGAAATCAGTCCATCTGTGCCGAAGCTATAGTGACGTATTCCCGAATCTTTGTATCGGTCGTGGTCACGATTTACGAAGTACCACAAAATGCGTTTGAGCGTTCTTAATCAGGAGAGACATTTAGTTGGGTAAGATGGAGTAAATCCCTACAAACAGCTAATTAGTGGACTAAAATTACCAAGAGCAAACTAGGGTGTGAAGTATGGCTATTGACATCGTCACTGACGAGGCACTATCATAAAATAATGTCCCTTTGATCTAACTCGTAATTAGAGGATATCTAGATCGAACTTTAAAAAACTTCAGAGTGGATGTAGTTATAAGCCGATGATCATTATAAATAACAAAGGAACTATTTGCAATGTCGTTTTAATTAGCCTCAACAGAAAACTTTAGGTTAGAAGAAACTGACTTAAGTACTCAACCAAACACTGCACTTAAGGAGAACCACTACGTGTGAGAAAGACTAGTGTGAGCTTCAAAGATACTCGAAATGTATTTTTTGATCCACTAGAGTTACTGTAGATTGAGACCATTCATTGAATATTCTAACAAACACTCATAATATATATATATATATATATATATATTTAATCCTTATACTTGCATCAGTTAGCGAAACTAAGAGTGACTGCCTGTTTATTACTTTTCTTATTTATTCTAGCTTTCCATTCTGATTCTTACTTTACTTATTTGATCACCACACCAGATTCCATTTTTACGAGTACACGTTTCACAAGAACGCGTTTACTTACTTCTCATGTTCTAATTTCTTGTTTTAACATTGTATCCACGACTGTATACTTACAATTTAATAGTAATTTCCGAAAAAGTAGCTCCTTAAATTAGCTAAGCTGATCGGTAGGAACATCTTTTTCTTTAGGTATGGTGCAATGATATATGGAGCACTGACCTCTGTGATCAGTTCATTGTAGTTAACGTCAAATTGGTCTTAGCATCTACAAATTCGGCTCGATGTCCGCATGTAGATTTTAACATTCTGGATTTTGACTCTGAATTCTCTTACGTTGATGTAGAAGACCAGAGAGCGTATCTAATAAGAAATTCCTAAATAGGGTTTATCTGAGGATCTTCCTAAGGTTATCTGTCACTTTTCAACTACTTCCCAAAGGGAGCGTTCCGAAATGGAAGCTTAGCTTTCAAAATATAATCCTCTTCGACTATATCCAAAAGGTGCATATGTGTGGATTTTTATTCAGTGTACACCAGTAGCGTTCTTCCAAAGTTCTTCTGATAATTTCATTTAACAGTAACCTAGGTTTTCATCTGCAGGTTATTTGTCATTATGTGACACCCGAATCACCTTTTAAAGAATTTTTCGATTCCGACAATAGTGAAGGTGATGATGACTATGTTTCGACATAAAATAAAATTTTTGGCTCATTGTTTTGTCCCTGTTGTAATTTTGGATGGATATTGTGTAGGTAATAGTATTCCCAATAAATGTTTTAAAGAAAAAGTTCTAAGTGGACAAAAGGAGGGCTGTAGAGCTACGTAAGTTAGTAGACTTTTAATATTTTTTCGAGAATGTTTTGTCACTTTGATTTCACAGGAAATGAATATCGAACGTTGCGTCATAGAGCTGTGTTACACCAGTCGATCACGGAGTGCTATTCGCTGGAAACAAATCTACCATTTATAATTCGTTAAAACGACAGTTTTTCTAAACTGTTCTACCGCATTTTAGCTGTCAAGTAGTTCATAACTTGAGTTAATAGGATTCTTAAGACTCACTTATTTTAACACATACTTAAAATGTGGAGAAATATAATTAATAAATACTCAAGGTAATGTATGTTTTTGTGGTGTCCAATTCACGATATTTTCATTTTGGGATACTGGTGAGTTTCGCTTAAACCAGTCCTGTCTACTTGGACATGTAAGTTTTTCATTAAGAATTTTGTGTTTGTTAAAGTTGATTATAAAATGTATAATTTAAATGCATGATCACATATTTGCAATACACTGTATGTCATATTAAATTTTACGTAACCTGAGAAATGAATACAGTCAAAGAATTCATAAATATAGCTTTAGAAGTTGAACTGAGACTTAAAACATATAAAGAATATTGCGCAATAGTTCACTAATTGAAAACTGAACTCAGAATATAAGATCAGTTCGTCCAGTATCTCAATCTTTTGGAATCCTCAAAAATAGGCTTTATAGAGCATCACTGTTCTGTTTAAAGGAATTTTAATCACTCACAAATCATTATGCATCTATAGAATAAATGAAGTCGATTAAATAAACGATATAACACACCTAAACCAAACTGTAACGAATTAAATAATGAGATTGAATGAACTTAATCTACATGGTAAGATGATAACATGTTTATTTCTAATGAAATATCATTGGTGAGGTGTAGATTGTATTTTGAGTAGAATCAATTTATTTAATGTTTCGATTATTGTATCCCATTAATTTGACTTTGGTAACAAAGTAAATCATTTCTGCTTACAGAATTAATAGACGGGGATTTTATTCCAATAATACAGAATATACTTAAAAGACTTTCTAATTTAATAAGTACTCAAATTGTAAGTAGCTATAACACGAATTGTTATTTTCACATAATTTTGTCTTAGTACTATTATTCAATATAAGTAGTTCATAAAAATGGGTAAATGAAGTAACCATTCCTTAGTAAGAATAAGACTCATTTAAGGACTATTCGTGGTAAACAATAGAACATTGTTTAATAATAGACTATTAAACAGTGGAGGAATTTCCTTGGAAATATTTTATCCGTTTTTTTTTAAAAAAACTACCTAATGACCGAAAGAAAATCACCATATTGTTTCATAGCCAGTGAAATATTCTTCGTTATTTCCTTCACAAAAGTAGGATTCTTAAAAAAAAACAATTATCTGCCTGAATTATTTTCAGATGACGATTATTTATTAAGAGTAGTGAAATTTTTTCTATTTTTAAAGGAAAAATCAACAACGAAATACGCCTAGTTACATAGTACTTGGTGTACTGTTTTCGAAAATGTAACTATTATGATAAGTGGTCATTTAATGTTAAAGGGAACAATAACAATTTAACTAAATCTGTATTAATAAATGAAGTACCATCAAAATTCACAGGCTACATTGATGATAACTGCACATTAAGTCTTTCTACTGAATTCATGAAAACTGGATTTGCTTTTTATTTGAATAACATTCATAATTAATGGTATTTATACCGAGGTTAAACTTGATACTTTGAAATACATTGAGCATTGAGTAAATAGTTAATAATAAATATACTTTTGTTAAATCCCGATGAGTAAATCAGTTCCGTGACTTAATGCAAGCCACTTCTTCGGAGTAAATAAATAACCGATATTCAATTAACACATATCTAAACGAAAAGTTATAAATACAATTTTTCTATATATTAGACTATAATAGAATGTATTTCAGCAAAGGGGTTTGTGAAGATTACAGTAATTTAATAGTTAAATTCACGAGTTTATTAAAGCTGGACCACCATAGAAAACCTGGAAGCACTGAGTGGCCGTTTTGTCATAGTATGGGACTCCTCAGCAGCGCACATCCACAGTCCTGCTGACAGGAACCGAACCCATGAACTTCGTTGATGGTCTAGCTTAGATCGACTGGTGAATTCAACTATTAAATTACCACAATCTCCACAAAATCCACTGTCTGATAATAATCAGCATGTGCTCACTAGTGACTGGCTTCAAGAGGTATTTCATGGAGTTCTAGTAAGAAGCCGTGACCAGTGAAGTTCAGCCGCGTCCCTTATGAGATAGCAATACATTAAGGACAATGGTGGTCGGTGGCGCAATTTCGCGGATTGGTTGGAATTAGACATTAACACAGTCAGATATATATATATATATATATATATATATATACATGAAATCAATGAATTGTTTTTGTTTTGAAGATCAGATTTTGGTATATTCTACGAGCAACACGAATAGACCTAATTAATATAGCATAATCTGACATGATGTAACTAAGCTTGATGTTTCTTAGCTTCTTTTTCCTTTTCTATTCAATATAACTAATGTCTAAAAATTCACAAAATGCAGCAAAATATAAGTTTAGATAAAAAATAAACTCCTATTATCTTCAGGTACTCAGAAAAGTCTGAAAAACTTCTTTTCATTAAAAAAGTGGTCTTTTCAAATGATGGACACATCTTATTGAACATAATGAATAACATTTCTTTTCATAACTTTTAATAGATACATATTCTTACTGCATATATTTACATATTTGTTTCGTATTGACACTTTTAATCTAATGAAAGACAACAAAATTAATCGAGAACAGTATGATTATATACTCTCAATGATTGAATTTATGAGTCGATTGAAGATGGATCACCATGGAAAACCTGAAGATTGTTATGCTCCGATAAGAATAATGAGTGGTAATTTTTGGGATCCGTTTGTGAACCAATGCTATACGTACATTTTTTATCGTATACTTGTTAATTAACTAAACTACTCATATTCATGTCTCTCTTATAATGAGCTTAATTTTGACCGATGAACTATTATTATATGATTTACCATTCTTGAGTTATACCCAGTCTATCAATTACTACCTCCCACATTCACAGTCACTCTTGGCTAAATCTTGTACAAATGTTGTTTCCTATTTTATGATA